GGACAGATACAAGAATTGTGATCCTCCACTTTCAAGGTCTCGTTGGTTTAGGGGTCAATCATTGTTATGCAACCCTGCCTTGGAGGTCAGGTGCATTTAAATTAAGGAGGAGTGCCAAACCAAAATTTTATTGAAGACCTGCCTTTTCAACTATGCAAGGTTTCAGCCTTGTAATTTACCAATTTCAGCTCTAAATTAATTTATAACATTTTTTGTACTTTTTTTTAGAGAAAGTAAAAAAAAATGTTTTCTTTTCGTAAAATTAATATATATTTTTTATGGTTACAATTTTGATATAAGTTGCATTAAGAGGCCAAATAAAGCTACATGTTACTATATAGCTAAACATGTTAATTTAAAAAATCTACACAGTGGTACTGGACCTGTTAAAAACACTTGACATTTTACTTCAAGATTCTGGTAATTTCAGACGAGAGATACTATATTTTAAAAGAGTGGTCACAAAAAAGTAAACTTCTTTTCCAAATAGGATTTTTGAAAAACTTATTTCGTTTAGGGGGGAGGGGGGCTCTCCCCTGGCACCATGACCTCACTTCTCCACCCAACCCCCAACCCCACCACAAACACCCCGAGACATGAATCATCACATTTTATTCAAATATCGTGATATACGAGATACTTTAAATTTAAGCTTCATGGTAAACAAAGGCTATCAGTGACTTGGCCATGTTGACTTCATTTTTTATGATTTTAAAATTGAGAATTGAGATGTTCTGGTAATTCTATTCATAATATTTACCTGCGTCGTCCATCTGCTGAGCTGCTGAAGAATCGAAAGATCCGTTCATAGAACAGCAAAATCAGAAGAAATCTCAAAGTCTCAATAAATCGCCAGGAAAATATGTCAATACTCGCCAAGTCTCTATATCTGAGTGATTACCAGTTCACGTGGTCAAAAACACGCGCCAAGCATGGCGTGGTCACTGAGGCATGGAACTTGTGAATATAGCGAGGTAGAGGTTCTACATGTCTTGAAATGGATTTCTCACGTTTAGGGCAGTGGGTAGATATATATGTTGCAGTTATCGAATAGGATAGAATAGAATTTATTACCAAAATCGGGGCCCATTTTTATTAATATAATATGCATTCAACAATTAAGGGGGCCCTGGGGAGGGGAGATAGGGGGCTTACTAACTATTGATTACTATTCATTGAAAGGGCAGCCCCACTTTTTTGATGCAGTATACATGGTATAGTCATGAGGGAAAATAAGTGTGTATGAAAGAATTGTACTGAAAAAAGTTAGACCCCAACTCGCCCCTGGAAACACTAGGATTTTCCAGTCGACTTTTTTTTTCTCTGCCTGCCCCCTTTCAAAAACGACTGTGCTGTATAGCTGCCCCCCTCCCCCATCCAATGAAAGGGAGACTGTCACCCATCCCTTTTTTTTTCAAGAAAGAATTTTTTCTCTAAAGAACGAGGGCGCTTTTAATTGGCATTCGGCAGGAATCTGGGCGTAATTGAAAAGTGAAAATTTTACATTTTACATGTCACATGAAATTTTTACATTTTTTTTTTGGGGGGGGGGGGGTCCTGTGCAACAGGAAAGGAAAATGTTTTCCCGAAATCGAGTTTTGATTTGCTAAAAAATAGCTTGAAAATTGGCCAGATCAGACATTCGGTACAAAATGGTACATTCCAACAAAAAAATAAATGATTTATAACCATGCATATAATTTCATTAATTTGTATCCACGTAAGTAAGTAAATTAAAAAAATAAAGAGCAGAACATTAAGAGAAAAACAAAAAGTTCATAAAAATAAACACAATTGTGATAAATATATATGTTGTTTTACGTACCATTCAAGAATTTGTCACTCATATACAGACGTCGGCAATTAAATTCTACGAGTTTCGTGTTTAATGAAGATGCTGTTTCCTATTGATATCATGGTAACCTGGTGAATAAAGTTTTAAAAGTCGTACGTTCTGATGTTTTTGATTTGATACATCATTGTGATTTAAAGTTTTCTATAAGTTTCTTAAGAGTTTTTAAATGTTCACATCTGATGAATTCTACTTCTCGGATATGTCCTGAAGTGTCTTCTTCATTGCTATTGATTTCTTCGTGAGACGTCAAGAAAAAAATTATTTTTAAAAAAATTTGTTCTTTTCAAAGATTTGTATGAAGTTTACATATTCAGTATAGGAATGGGGATTCAGTTTAATTAATCTAATTGTTTAGTAACATGATGAGCAATAGTGCCTCTTTCAAAATTATGAATATAAGGGCTCTGATTTAAAACACGAGGCGAATTCAATTGTTGGAAAAATGGTAGTGCCCCTACAACTGAAAATGGATTGTTGTGCCCCCCCCCCCCCCAAACTTAAATTGCCTCTTACGGGCCTGGTAATACAGTTAATTAAAAGTCCGTACGTGCGCGACACACCGTCTGATATCAGTTGACCCCTTTAGTTTTTATGAGCTGGAGTGTTTTTTTTTATTTTTACAAACTATGAATGTGGTTTCCTTATTTAGCAGAAATAAGAGATTTCCCTGTGGCCAACATACGGACACTAAGTGTTTAAGATTTCGTGCCAAATTTTCTCCTGTTGAGCAAAATTCAGTAAAACTGACCCATGTTTCTAAAATAAGTGGGAGGGGGTGGGGTTCAAACCATGAATGGGGTTTCCTTATTTAGCAGAATTTAAAGATTGTCTTATGGCCAACGGCATTCAAACATTGAGTGTTTACGATTCAGTATTGAATTTTCTCCTGATAAGCAAAAATCAGAGAGAATTCTGATTTTCATATCTTTTGTAAAGGCTCACAGCTAAGCGTACCGAGCCTAGGGGTAATGTCCATTATTGTAGAGGACGAAGTTCTCGTTGTATTCGTGTAATTTAGAAAGATGTCCAGGAAAAAAGAAAATGTCTTTTTTTTTTTTAATTTTGGCGTATTCCTCTACCAGGCAAAAATCATGATATTTCAAAATTTATCTTTCCTTGATTAATTTCATTTAGATGTTACGTATCATACCTGGCTCTACCATTTCCGAATACGGACTAATTTTCCCAAAGTTCCAATGTATAATAAAGTGCCACGCCACAGCATGATACGTAAATTAAAAAATTACAATTAACTTAAACAGTTTAGAGTGCAAGAAAAAGTCATAAAAATAAACCAATTCTAAAATTTATATGATTTTTTCTATTCCTTAAAATATTTGTTTATCCATCGATATCCCCTGTGGTGTAGGCATTAATTATAACAAATTACATCATTGATATCATTTCTATACTGGTTGTATTAGAGTTTTAATTGTCAAATGCTTTTGATATTGATACAATATCAAATTGATTTAAAACTTAATTTAAACCAAATTAATTTTGAAAATAAAAGGCTAGGCCATCAAATGACATATGCTATTTAAACTGACCAGCAGTTCTTCTTCATTGCTATTGATTTCTCAAAGGATACAGATAAGAAGATGCTAGCTAGCCTTCCTGCATTGCACTCATTAATTAATCTTTGACTGGAGATGAATGGATCTGTACTTTCTACCCTAAAATATTTTTAAAACATATAAAATACTCAATGATTTTTTTTTTAACATTTAATGTCAGAAAGGTTTAAATATGCAATTTCTATGGAAAATGGACAAGCTGATTCCACCCCTATGAAATTAGTTTTTTAAATTAATAATATTATATAATATTAGATTAGTTTATAATGCATTATCAAATAAGTTTTAATTACTTTTCATCAAAATCATTTTAAAATTTAGGCTAGCCAACAAGAGCTATTTTTAATCCAACAGGCTTACCCATCTGCCCAATTCCCAAAGGGACATAGATAACACCGATGGTCTCCAGTTTGCTCCTCACACTAAACTCATTAATTTCTCTCTAATTTGACATGCAATTTTCTGTTATCAAAACTCTTGACCAGTGCTGGATAATTACACTCATGGGAGACATGGGATTTCTCTTAACATACATAATATCTGTTATAGATTGCTGTCAAGTATATGCTGAAAAAAATAAGTATTTTCTTGATTTAACACTTTTTTAATAAGGATACAACTAAAATTTTGCATTTTTTAGGATTATGAAATTCAAAATTTAAAAGACTTAGTTTTTAAAAAAATTTCACTTAAATTAAAGGTCACAGTGACCTTGAAATAGGTCGCGACACACCTTCTACCCAAGATGTATACATTTGCCAAGTTTGATAGTTCTAGGTCTAATAGTTTACTAGTTATGAGCCGGACAGGATTTTTCCATATTTGGCCATAGCATCTTAATTAAAGGTCAGAGCGACCTACTTTTTGTGCGCGACACACCGTCTACCCAAGAAGTATCAGTTGACAAAGTTTGATAATCCTAGACCTATTAGTATTGAAGTTATGAGCCGGACAGGAATGGACAGACGGACAGACGGACGGACGGACACGAAGCCTATAACATAATACGTCCCGTCTTAAGACGGGCATATAAAAAGACTGAAGTATAAGGACTTAAGAATAGTAACATCTCTCCTGAATCATTTACAGTGTTACTATCCAGAATCAGATCTACAGTACCATTTCTTGGGAGAGACTTAAAAGTTTTAAAACTTGAGCTTCAGGCTGGAGACGACAGATATATTTGTTTGTATGCTGTTTAACGTCACTCCCGAGAATTATTCACTCATATGCAGACGCCACTACTTGCTGGTGGAGAGCTACAAACTTTTGTCCTATACTCGGCACTCTGGGCCATTGAGCAGGGAGGGATCTTTTTTCATAACAGCACCTACTGTAACACGGGACCTCGGTTTATACGGTCTCATCCAAAAGACCGGTCTCCATGTCCCACAGTGGGAATCGAACCCTCGACATAAAGATCAACTCCTTGCTCCTTTGCAACTCCAGAGCAGACCATCTAACCACTGCGCCATGCAGGCAACAAGACTTATGTATGACAAGCTCAAGATTAGAAAGGATAGTATAGCTCACTTGAATCATGTGAAAAAGAAAAAATAAACACCCAGTACGGTCATTATTACATTGACATGTATTTAATTTTTTAGGCATGACATGAACGAATAAACAGTAAAAAGGAATCTAATTCCAAGTCAGGACTGAAAATAACAACAGGTTCACAGGTACAACAACAAAACTCGGTACAAAAAAGAACATGCAGCACAAATATAACAAGTATGCACCTTTCATAAATATAACATCAAAAACTCAAATTGAAAAACTTAAAATGCAACTCAAAACTGCCACTCCCTTTAATATACTAGTATATAGAGCAAAATCCTTGACTTTTATCTCTCCAAAAACATTTTTTAAAGTTTAAATGTAAAAACGGTAAATTGTATTTCAGTTATTTTCTGCACTTCTGCATTTGTGTTGGATTTTATTACCTTAAAGCAAAAGACAATAAAATCACTGAAATCTTTCTCAAGCAGTAGACTCAAAAGGAATGCAAAATTCAATGAGTAAAAAAATTACAATGCTGCCTTTTAATTCAAACAATTAAGTGCAGATTTTAACCATATTAAAGTATTTGGATATTTTTCCAACCATTCCTTTTAAAATACCTTTCATGAATTACATATTTATAGGTGACAAAGGAGCTATAAAGCTTTTCTTAAGTAGCAAACCTTAAATTGATTCAGGTTATAATACGTGCTCATGTGTAAGCTATAACTAGATTTCTCAAACTGAAAGTTTACTTGAATTTCAACATGTGTATTGATTGAAATATAACATTAAACAACAATTAAAAAAATGGTTGTAAAATCTATGTATCTAACTTAAGAGAATTAATGTAAATTAATATCTCATCGCCAATTTTTCAGTTTCAACATCATACAAACCCATGTATACAAGTCTAGCAGGTTATATTGTTAAAAATCATGGCACTTAAAATACATGTACATGAACTTATATTTAATAGTACAGTTTAATTTTCATTTGACAATATGAGATTTAATTCCTTTAATTCAAAATTATGAATATATCTGCATATAAGCAAATAAAGATTAAGTATAAATGGGAGATTTTAATCACTTTCATCCGAATGAAATATAAGTCAAATTATTGAGACAAAGTTATCAGTAAAATATTATTTCTTTCTTTCATAACATGAAACAAAATCTAGACATGAAGAAAAGATTATGTTTTTAATTAGCACCCATGTGTTCTCACCCATATGTATAATATAAAATTTTTATAACATTATACATTTTTTAATGGACAAAATTTTTTTTAATTAACGAAAAAATTTCAAATAAGGAAAACAATGTGCTATTAGGAAAATTAATCTAAAGTTTCGTTACAAAATCTTGATTTTATATCATTGGAATATTTATGTAAATGTTATCTACCTTATATCATTCAAAAAAACCTTCTTTTCATATTTAAAAAAAAAAAAACAGTTTATAATAATATACCTGTAAGTAATCTGAAAATCTATTTTTTGTTACAAAAAAAATTATAATATCAAAACTGTAATACCAAGAGAATTGTATTTGCAAATTGAGTGGAAATTTGGTTGACTTTTGTAATATCAGTAACTGCAGGCATGGAATCAAGCAGGGACACTTCACGTGAGCAACCCCCCCCCCCTTAAAACAGAAAGCCACAAGTCCAATTTATTTTTGTGTCTCATAATAGCTTATTCTCTGAAGCTTACAGGGGCTTTAACCCAAGGGCACCCTCCCCCCCCCCCCCCCCCCCCCCCCCCACTGTCCTTGACCACCTAAGGACCATGGCAGTACCCATACCCCTCACCATTTCATAACTCTCACTCTTAACAGAAAAATGTTATATCTGTGCCTGAACTGAGGTAGATCACAAAACATACGTACACATAAAACTTCTTTATACAGAGTCAAGAAATCTGAATTTACAGTATTGCTTCACAAAAACAAAACAAAATGGGGTACACCACACAATACTGCACTGCATAATAACATACATGTACATTTATATATGCTATGGTTATAAAAGTTACCACAAAGCAATTAAAAAGTTTGACGCCCATATCAATTATAACAAAAACTATTAATCTTGGCTTTAAAAATGGTTTAAGTTATCAACTAAAAAAATGTTTGAAAGAACACATAAAAGATGTTCAAAAGTTAATAAAAAATTGTCACATGATTTTGTAAATCAAAAGCACAAAAACATTACTATCACATCACAGATGGAAACACACAAAAAAATTATTTTGGTTGATGAATCACAATAAATTTGGTTGCATTAATCACATTAATAAATTTGTAGAAAAATTTATCCTCTCAATCCTCTAGGTATTCTATGTAATATTGGGATTGTCGGAGGTAGTCCTTGATACGAGTTGGAATGGGCAGTCGGTCGATGTGGTCTCGTCGTACAATCTGTAGGATTTGGAAACGACACATGTGCTGCAGCGACTGCATCTGTCGGAATCGAGAGACGGGGTGAAGGAGATGAACGGGCATAGGTGGCGCTCCAGGGCCAGAGGGCCGAATGAAATACAGGAATTGTCCATTGCGGGAATTTCTAACACACTGTTCAATAAAATCTTTAATAGTTGATTTTCCTAATGAATCAGGCTGTGACCAAAAGCTGAATTTACCTGCCAAACGAAATTTTTTTAAAAATTATAAAAAATATAGAATATTTTTTTCAAAATGCGACTTTATAACTTGATATAAGATTATTACCAATCTCAACTCATAAAGACATGAAACAAATACTAAGATATCTTGAAGTTTTTAATTAGTTCCTTTGAATTTGAGATAATGAAGTTTCACTGTTGTTACCAGAACATTGTATTCAAAACCCCCAAATAACCACCTACCTTTATGATGCTCTATCCTAGTATGGTGGACATGGCCATTCATGTTGAATGACAGACTAAGGATGTATCGCTCATCTGAGCTGTCCCTGACCAGAAAGGAGCCGTCCGGTTTACTCATTAGTTTGATTTCAGCCTCGTCCCAGCTCAGCGGCCCCCAGTACCAGCCACACTGTAAACAGGGCAAATAAATCATACAGAAAATGGTAGTCAAGAGTCATGTGAAATAAATGTTATTGTACATGTCTGAACATACTTAATATATACGCTTACATCTTTTAGCTGTTTCATGCTCTCAAAAAAGTCTTGTCTGCATCCTATAAATAAATGCATAGAAGAAAAATTTACTATACTGTATTGAATCATGCTCAAATAAGTTTGATATACAATGCCTTATTCAAGCCATTATCTGAAAAAAAAATTACTGAAATATACAAATCTATGTACACTGACTCAATTGTTTGATGAATGAAGTAACAATATAAACCACAGTTATGAAATACTACTACAATTTATACAAACTGTGTTTGTATCCCTGCCCCTTCCCAAATAAACATTAATCTTAAGGATCACTACAGGAACTTACTCATGTCTGAGTTCTGGTTGAAGGCAGGTATCTCTGGCAATGTAATAGGTTCCACAAAGCTGGACTTGGCCTTGGCATCTCTTAATGGCTTCTCACCTGATGTTGCAGATCTACTCAATTTATTCTCCACTGGGTCCTTTGGCACCTTCTCAGCTTCTAGAGATTTTGCCATTCCCATAGGATACGTCCTTCTGGCTGTTGGGTTTTTGTGAACAGGCGTCTGTCTGAGACTGCTGTCTCTAACTTTGACCCGAGATGAACCACTGACCTTAACCTGAGATGAACTCTCAGCACTCTTTTGTTTAGCACTAGATTTCCCTTCTTTCTGCTTTTTCTTCTGTTTCTCTCTTTCTCTACTGTGTTTGCTGTAGTGTTCTTCCATACCTAAATCTGCGAGGCTCATATGAACGGGTTCTTCATCGTAATAAAATGAAGGAATGGTTTTATAAGGGAGTCCCTTTGACCTTCGTTTCACTTCTGACTCTTCATCTGGGATATCCTGCACACTCTCCTCTGGCTCTCCTCCCATTGCTCCTACTAATGTAGGTAACTCCTGCTTATCTTCTATTTCTAACTCAGCACTACATTTTTCACCTGACTGATCAGTTGTCATTGTTTGTTTAGCACTATTCTGATCACTAGCCAGATCTCCTTCCGTTATGATCAAACTCCCGGTTAAACTTTCTTGATTAGAATCATTACACTCAGAGTTTATGCCATCATCTGGCATTATCTGGGCTGTGTCTGTAGGTTTCAGATTATAAGCATCAGCGTATGGTATCTCTTCCCAGTCATTCACATGTGAACTACCCATCTGAAAACAACTCTCGGAATCTTTCAGTTTTGTAGTACTGTCTTCCACATTTCTGTCATAATCCAGTAAATTCTCAATGGAGGACACACAAGAGGGAATGGTTTGACTTTTTAAACTTTCCAACACGAGGTCTGCATCATCTTCATATGATGTTGCCATAGGGGATTGACTTTCAAAGGAAAACTGTTGGTTAGTCAGATCATTACTTATTGATTTAGTACACGGATTTTCAGTTTCAGATGATTCTAGCACTGTGGAATTTGACTGAGATTGGCTGCAAACAAGGTCTGATTTGTCCTTTATTTTTTGTTTTTCTGGTTTCCATTTAACAGAGTCCGTCTGCTCAGCAGATGACATAAAAGACGTAAAATTTGAGACTAATTGATCAGAGGACATGCTCAAGTCAGTTATAGCACTGTCTGTTCTAGCACTATTTGCAGTATAGCTTCCATTTGGAATATCTATTTTCTCACTAACACTACTACAATCCATGTCTAAGTCCTCTGTAGAGATTTCACATGGGCCTGCTGATGACACATTCTCTGATAAAGAGTCAAAATGATTCATGACTTGAGCAAACAAGTCAGTACCAGAGGAAGAATTATGAAATCCACTATCTACCTGCAGATCTTTAACCTCTTCATAAGGTCTCTCTTTCTTTATGTAAGATTGATATGGCACTGAACACATTTTGTCCTCCTCAAATGAACACTTTGAAGATTTAATGTCCTGATCCTTGATCTCCTCATAAATTCTCTCCCTCCTCCGATGATGAACCAGTGAGGCACCACAAGTTGAATACCCGCTGGCCTCATCCTCTTCATCCAGAAGGTCGAGTCTCACTTCCTGTGGTACTGGTTCTGTGTCTGCCTCCTGAGGAATGCTGTGTATGCTATCCTCATTAGGAGGACATTCAGGAGGAACAGTCTCCTCAACACTTGGAGGTTCTTCTCCAGTGTCTGTGTCCTCGAGATTCTGAACACTATACTGTCTCTCTGGAAGGGGCGGTGGTTCCTTCTCTACATTCTCTTCTCTGTTTATAGCACTACACGTCCTCACTTGTGTCTTGAAAGGGTTTTCCGCATTTTTTGTTTTGTTCTGGACGATGGAAGGGTTAGCATACACATCTTCAGTTTGTTTCCAGATGACTCCTACTTGAGAAATACAATTCTCTGACTTGTTTTGAGAGCATTTCATTCCTGTTTGTAGAGAGTTTTCGTTTTGAAGAGGACAACTTCCAGACTTTACAGATAAAAGATTGGAGGGGAAGCTTGGCAGAAGCCGATTCTTCATATCCAAGTTTTGACTGCTTGGTCGATTCACATCTAAAATGTAAAAAAAACATTTTTAACATTTTTAATACAAACAGTAATTCTAATCTTTATGACAGTTTTTAATTTATTACCAATAAAAGATTTTAATGTAACATACAGACATTGCACTATATCAAGATAGCTTTATTGCTTGAAAAATTGAAAGATACATGTACATTTTTTATACAAATTTCACTGAATAGGCATATCACAATGCTTACTTGTGTGACTGGAATTTTTGCCTAGTTTTTCCCTAGGGTTAATTTTGAATTCATTACTCTGGTGAACCACCTCCTGAGCCCCTGTGGACTGTGAACGTCGGTGGTGCTGTACATGTGTAGGGGTCAGATTCTCTGCATCCTCTTCCTTCAATTTCTTTAGTTTTAAATTCTTCATTTTCTCTCGTACCTCATCAAGAGTTTCATACCCAGGATCCATGTCATCTGGTGATATTGGCTCTATTTTATTTCCATCATCCAAGTCCACTCCTGCCTCATCCGATATAATGAAATCATTAGTCACTTCTACATCTGATGTCAGTGGTTTCTTGTCCGGGGGAGGTAGGACTTCTGCTACTTCTTTAGAATGCCTTGATCGCCTGAGTTTTGGGAATGCCCCATTTTTCTTCCTCATTTCTACAGGTTTCTGGTAGCTTCTGTCTGATTGGCTCCTCCTGACATCCACTCTGGCAAACGGACCCTGACTGGGTGTGTCTTTGTGCTCAGGGGACATCTTCCGTTTAAAATACAACCCCTCCACATTCTCTGCGTCTGGATGTTCGGTATCATCACGGTTACGAAATCGTAACTTCTGTACAAGTCGTCCAAATAAACTCCTATTGAAGGACGGAGAAGATAATTTGTTTCTGTTGTTACCAGACTTAGGGGGCTGGGTTCTGGGAGGGAGGGTGGCAGATTTTGCACTTTGTCCACTTGCCATTCTCACAACCAATTAATATGGAGTTACCTGCAGAGAATAATGTATACATGTACATGATGTATACATGTATCTGCATTTTAATTTCAATTTCCTTGCTCAAAGAGAACATAATATTCCACCTTCATAAATATACCAAATTGCATTCAAATGCCTTTAACAGAAGTGCTTTAAAATATGATACTGTTCACTTTAAAAAATTGTACAGATCTATATGTTACAGCTAACAGAAAAATAATACTGCTTTTCTGTAAATGATGAAATATAAAATTAACACTTACAAAATTTGATAAAATAATAACAAAATATAATTTTAAGCTTTGACTAAACAGGTATGAACAATTCTATGATACATACCAGAAATTGTTGGAGACACTGCATTCTGGCTGTTTATACTAAATCATTCCTGTCCATTTTTAGAATTCGCCTGGGTCATATTTCCCCTGAAAAGACCAAAATTAATTTTCTTGCTTATTAAGATGATTAAGATTATGTAAATTTTTATTCTGATCAGCCAGGTGACACCACTGTAAATCACTGCTAATATTTATACAATTTTGTTCCACAATTTTTCCTTTAATTTACAGTACTTCTTCTTTCACATCTTTTTTATTATACCCTTCCTCAAAAATATTTTACCCTGGTATTTTAATTATAATTATACTTAGATCAGTTCATCATGTCTTCACATGATACAGACTGCATGTGCACATCCCAGAACGATACATTTCCTTATTCTATAAATATAACTCTGGATCATCTATCTTTCAATTCGTAGAAATGTTTATTTTTGCATATGGGAAAAGTCCGTTTAGGGAAATAAGAATCTAATATAACTGTTTACCCAATGAGAACATTTAAATGAGTCATGACGAGAGATTTAAATAATACACTGCTACTTAAAAAGACTTCCTTGTTCGTGAGTAAAAAAACCCAGAGAAGACAATAAGGACTTCCCTTATGTAAAAAGCCACAAAGTCTAAAGCTTATAAGTTTTAACAATATCCTTATATTGCTCATACAGCAATTTCATTATTTTAAATCCTAGAATATATTAGAATAGATAACCCAACTTTAAAATATTGCTTGAGTAGAACTTGAAGAATTTATAATTCATTATCTCAGACTTAATGGGACTGAAAATTGAGATATACAAAGATTCGAGACATCAAGGTTTAAATACATTAAAAAGATAAGTTGGGAGTTCCAATTCTCTCAGTATGTCAATGGCATTTGAGATATCAGTTCAAGATACCAAGGTTCAACTGCATTTACTGTAAAGCATCTCATAACTCAAAGATCTTGTGTAAGTTGAACACAAAATACAGGCAACTTTTAATACTGAATAGAAAAACTTTGTGTCTAGACTTACACAACAAGCTTCTGTACTCTAAACACTACCTCTTTATATAACAGAATTCAGATTTCTACACTAAAATCAACATGATCAAAGGTTTGTAAACTAATATTGTGATTAACTTCATCAACAAAGGGTAAGTGGACTTCCTTCATACAAAGAACTTTAATCAATCTTTGTTTTCTGTTTATTAGTCAAAGATACTTGCAAATATTGAATTGTACACCCTCTTGAGATACTTATGCTGCACCAGACAGTAGTCCACTCAGTGGCACTTATAATAAATTATAAAGCTTAGTTTCATCATGTGCTGTGAGACTCATTTTGATATATTTTATGGTAAACCCTCAGACAAAGTGAATAGTTATTATGCAATTTATATAACTGCGTGTTAAGATTTTCAAATGTTGAAGGTCAATTGTGCTTTTTTTTAAATAAAGATTTAAGGAAGCTTTTTAACATCATCATAACACATGATAAGGAATAGAAAAATTATCTTTTCAAATTTTGGCTATAGCTGAGAAACTGTCAAATAGTTTATAAATGCTTATTGCAATGCATGATCATGCATTTCTTATTCTTGTCTGTCACGTACCATTCCCTAAATGCTATACAATTGATTTAAAATGCCTCTTGTCTTTTAAAAGAAAATGCACCTTAGTTACTCTTAAGTTCTTTACTATATGTGGGGAAGATGCATTTTCTGGCTTCAAAATAAAAATATGTTTTAATGCATACAAAGTTTCCAGTTTACAATTTACACAATATCAGTTCATATTATAGCATGGCTACAAATTGCAACCAACTAATACCTACAATAAATGTTTCATCACTATCTTCAAGTTATAACACACCCTCAGAGGTACAAAATATAAAGGCTCTTGGTTAGGGATAGGAATTGGCCACAGATATTTTTAACTGCATTGCAATATGTATTGCAACATTTTCAATTAAAATTAAAATAGCATTTTCTTTATATTATTATTAACTTCCATTTACCCCAATACACGCTGATGCAAAATATAGATATGATGATAATTATGTAAGTAACCAAAGGGAAAAAAAAATCTTGTTTATTTTATTAAAGTGATGCACTGAAAAACATCCATACAACAGCTTCTGTCTTATGATTCGGCTTATTAACAAACCTTTCTGATAACTTGAAATATTAAAGACTTCCTGCTTTAAAAAATAGACAAATTAAATCTAACCAGCTTTAAAAAATGATTTACACTAAAATGTTGCCTTCTTGTTAGATTTATGAATAGCTTTTAATGTAATGAAAAGAATTTAGAATTTTTTTCAATCAAAAGAAATAATTTGGCCTATATCGTGATATTATAGACGTTTATGAGACACCAGTAATATTAAAACTCTGTCAGCTGTCTATTTCTCATCAAATGAAAACAGAGAGATTTTAACCCAAAGAATGATTCATTTTATACCATATTATTTGCCTTTCCCTTAATAGAAAAAAGATTATTTATAATTACTGCTTAATCAGTCAATCCTTATTAGGCGTTAACGGAAGTAGAATTTCATCAACTCCAAAAAAAGTTGCGCAGTTATATAAAAAACGGTGAAAAATCGTGAAAAGTGGGCTCTTATAAAAAGTGTTTTTGCAAAAAATTGGATTACCTTACAATAATGTAAGTACTCTGATTAATAATAAATGGTTTTAGAGAACGTATTTGTTAGAATTTTGATTTCATGTGCAAATAGTTTTTAATTTCAAGTAAAGTTGACCAACTTCGAGGTTCAGCCAGACATCGTACAAGTAGGATACAAAATACAAATTAAACAGTCGTAATCTTATGAAAACATCTCTGTGGTTGATAATTTGTTTGTAGTGACTAAGTTAGTCATTTTAGAACTACTTTTACTGATTTTAGAAGTTTTTTTTGTAAGTAAGGAACGCTACGAATTTTCAGTTCGAATTTCCTCTGTCTTTCATGTCTATCGTGTACGAATGAATTTCAGGATGTTTAGATCAGCAATGAGCAACTGCATTGTAAATACATCTTACCAATAATTAAAAAAGTACTGAATTGATGGTTTTAATCATAAATAAGAGTCGATCAGGTGACAGTTACATGAGAATCCAATCAGTTTCCACATTTCCTCCGAGGCTTTTTTGAAGAAAGTTCACGTTTCAAGTTAGATCAAATACAAAGAAAAATAAACGTTTGGGAATTAAATATATAATAAAAGGGGAAAATATGTAAAATTGAACATGTAATATATATGTTGTAACTGTTAAACATTGACCGAATTTTTACCTATTTGTAATATTATTTCGTCATAGAATTCTGTATGACATCTGAATATTGAGAGCGTTAGTTATCACCATCGCTATATATATACCTAATGTTTTCACATATGAATAGATATAATCATGAAAACATTTTTAGAATTATAATCTATGAGTTTAAGAACTTAAAAAAAATCATTCTTTTAAAATTACGGTAAAAAAGTCTTCTCAAATCGAACCTGTTAACATCTCTGCTCCGCCGCCAAAATTGTGCGGTTTTTCATTAAAAAAACCGATATTTACAAGTGTCTTAGAAGTAAAATTTAAGCATCTTTACAATAGGAATTATGGCATAAAATTTAAATCAAGGGGACAAGTTAGAAAATTTATTCTTACCGACTTTATTGAATCCCGGTGTCGTACGTATATCCCAAATCACTATTTTGCAAGAGTACAGAGTGATAAATAAGTCAATAACCACTAAATAATTTGGGTACAATTATTTATTCAACAAAAATTGAAATCCAGTCACAGTTTACTAAATACAGCCATTATTCAGTCGTATTTGTGGAGAAAGCGAACGACAATCCATCGTTTGTTTACATCGGAAGCCATTTTGCCGCAATGCATGACGGAGCCAAAGACTTCTTTTTTGGAGTTCACGCCGTTTTTGGAGTTCGTCTAGACTGCTTAGGCTACAATATTTATCAACTTCACAAAAAGTTGCTATTCAGAGTTTTTCTACGTCTCTTTAAACATGTAAGAACTAACATAACAAATAGGATGTCGTAAAAATTTGAACAATAATCTATAATTTGCCTGACCTGTACTTTCATATTAATGAAGAGATGGGCTACAAAATCTCCTTGAAGATCAATAAATATTTAATGTCAGTCTCCCATGGTATTTCCACTATTAAATTACACGTGCAGCTTCCTGGTGCCCTGTCCCTATTCGGCATTGAAATTTCATGAACGACATAGACAATACTGACCATACTTATGCGTCCATAGGACATCAACAGTTGATATTCAGCATCATAATGTTATGTGAGAAACTACATCACAGCAACAGGAAGTTTGTACATCAAATCGTGATCTTTAACGCGGACCCGAATTAGATAACTTTTTAAATTCGGATAAAAACGAACATCTGACCCCCCCCTTTTTTTTTCAAAAGAATATTTCGTTTCCCAACTATGTAGATATTAACGAGGCCCGATCTAGTTGAACTGCGCATACGTTTTAACGCAGCGTCGACTCAGGCACGTCACAGTACCATTGACTGCCGTCACAATTGAACACAATAACGTCACAATTAAAATGACGTCAAATTGCGCTAAAATGTTTCGCTGATCCTGCATACCTGGTAACTACATAGACTGCACATGTCGAAAGCTGGTATTTCTATTATTTACATGTTTTTTTTTTTAAATATTTTTTTTAATTGATAAACAACTTTGGAACATGATTTATTTTCAGGTATCAATATCTTGGTACATATTCATTAATTTTACATTGTTTTATTTCAATTTGTGAGTTAAAAAAACAAACACTGCAACCGAAAGTATAAATAAAATTTACGATTTTAGTCTTTCTCCTTGAACATGTTGAAGTCTTTATACACACCTTTTTTTTGAGGACTTAAATATGCTTGATTTAAAAAAATCAGTCTTTGAATCATTTAAAGCAACCCCCAATATATTTTATTTTTCTATATATTACATGATATTAGTAAAATTTGTCATTTTCGCCTTTTACCCCCCCCCCCCTTCCACGTATAACAACGCCGCATATAAAGAAAAAAAAGAAAGCATGAAGAGAAAATTATTTCAAAATGTAAGAATTATTTATTTTTTAGAAACTAATACAGTATTGCATCGTTTGTTGATGTTATGTACACCTATGGCGACTTATTTCATGTCTAGTTGGATAAAATAAGTGCTAATTTTGTGTTTCGATATGCCCCCTTTTCACTGCAATAAAGGCTACCTTCAATTTTCTTTTCATTTTTTATAAGAAGAATGAAAATTGCATGATATATGTGAAAAACAAAAATTTTCATCGTGTACTTTTTTTTAATTTTCAATATCTTTGTTTATTGGAGGGTTTTACTATGTTGTTGTGTATAAAAACACAAAAAATGGTCCATATCTTGACAGTGCCCCCATTTGACTACAATAAAGGCAAGGTAATAAAATTTCATTCTAATTTTTCTTTGCATAATACATACAAAAATATTTCCAAATATTAAATTTTTTTATCATTCCGTTTTCGTAATTTTCAACTAGATCGGGCCTCGTTAAGTACTACACTTTCATATATTCACTATTTTTTTTTATTTTATTTTATTTTAGGGGGAGATGAGAAATACACGCAGTTTCAAAAAGGATAAAATAATTTATTATGAATTTTATTTTTTCATCACGTTATCAGTTGAAGCTGGAACTTTCATACTAGTTAGTATATACGTCTAGGATTAAAGTTAGTCTTTTTAAAACAATTTTCTTTACAAGTAGGACAAATATTCCTTTGTTCGTTATTTTCCATCAAACAGCAATTATCTGTATTTGTTTGGTCGGAAGCTTCCAAAGCTCATTTTAGATTGCAGCAAACTAAAAATCGTAGTTATTCAGGACAACAGAAAAAAATTACAGTATACGTAACTAATAAATTAAGATGATTTCTTTTTAAAAATTGATTTGAATATTTCAAAAAAAGTGAAAATACAAAATTCATACAGTGAAACTTGTTAGCATGATAAACTTTTTACCTAGATCGCTTCCAGTAGATCTAACTATAAAAGATGTTTGAGAGAGAGAGAGAGAGAGAGAGAGAGAGAGAGAGAGAGAGAGATGAATGGGATGATATTTACCCTTTTTAAGTCTATTTCTTTTGCATTGGATGAAGTTTCTTAGTTACTCTCCTGATTGTATGAATTATCAGATTTCCATTACACTACATAACTATACGTCATGGAGCCAGGGACGAGAAAATAGTTACTATCAAACAGACGAGCCCGGAAAACAACACTTTTCTCTCAAGTACCGTGACAACTTGAAGTAAACATATATATATGTAAACAGATATATTTTTATATTTTCCCAAATTAAATTAATACTATGAAAAGGAAATGACATCTTTAATTGGCCACTCTCTAATAAGACCCAACCCGACGATGCAAGTATAAACATGAAATAATAATAAATATCTCTTTTAAGATTGCTTGTGAGTATTTTTTTTATCATTATATATTCTTCCAATCTTAAGCTAAAGATATTTTCATTTAAAAGGGCAATCTCAATTTTGAAGTCATATGTCTTCAAGTGAGTAATGTGTTTTTATGCACATTATTCATATTGAGACTATTTCATTCCATTACTTAATTCTTTAAACTCATATTAATCTGTTTCAGTCTCCTTAACATTTTATAGATGCATTTTATTCTAGTATTAAAACAATCCTTTTTATATGTGAAAATATTCTGCTCTAGGATAGGAAATTTAAGTTTTTCTGACAGATTTTAGGATTTTTTTTTTCAAGTCTGAGAGTTAGAGAGGGAAAACACTCAGAAAATTTGTAAATTCTCACGTTATTCGAGGGTTCTTGTGTAAGGAAGACTCGCCAATCCTGTATACATGTAGAAAAGGTATACATGTATAGCTATATATCTGTGCAATATTTTAAATAATATGGAGACCATGCCATACGATCCAGGGAAGTGGATACCAAGAAATTTGACATTAATGACAAAGGCGTCAGAACGGGGTGGGGGGGGGGGGGGGTTGGGGGCGTAGGTTTAGCCCCCCCCCCCCCAAAATAGGAATTTCAAGTTTTAACAATGGTCAAATTAAACTTCTTTTTTGGCATACCCTTTTTTAAGGTTTGAATTTTTTTCCTTTTTGAACTAGCCCCCCCCCCCTCCCCGGCAATTTGCTTCTGACGCCAATGAATGAGATGTTACTTTACTCTAGAGAACAAAGCTTAATAAATTTATTAAGTTGTGCCCCTCAATGATTTTGCCTATCCATGTACTTTAATTATAGTACTACTGAGAAATAATGCTTATTTTAACGTTTGTGTCCCAATGAGGAACTATAGTATGTTTTAAAACCGGACCTGTTTATCACAAAATCGATAGAAAGATGATCAGATAAGTTTTTTTTTCTGTGTATATAAGAATCAAATAACTTTTCAGTGTACTTTTTTAAATGTATAATATTTTTGCTCCAGTTTTTTTAAAAAACCTTAATTCTATATGTGCATTGTTGAACATAGTTAATTTATTTTCTCTACAATTTGTAATCCTTTCAGTGGCAGACTCTAAATACATGTCTAGATGTATGAGTATTGGGGAAGGGGGTGTTCCATTTGAGGTTCCTTCTAGAGTAAACGTCTCATTGCGATAAGGAATATAATTAAATGTACATATGAACTCACAATGAGAGAACACGAGTTCTACTAAAAATAAAATTCCTTCTCGCTCTGTTGTTCATACTGGGAGAAAATGTACTTAAGATTATAATAATGTGAAATACTAAACTCTTATTTAACTACTAGAATCTAAAGGCATAGTACATTTTTGAAGTTAGTACTTTGTTAATATTTTCCTCTCCTTATTTATTTATTTATTTATTTATTTATTTATTTATTTATTTATTTTATTTTATTTTATTTTTATCTACTTAGATCTTTTCGTGTGCGTCTATGTTTTTCCGTTTTTATCCGCAACCTCTGTATTAACTTTTTCAAAGCACCGGAAATGAACACCAAATGAGAGAAAAACATAAATTTTGATGTAATATTTGTTTTTTATGGCTTAGATAATACTTGGTAATGTCTGGGTAAATTGTAGGAAATGTAATAATGTGTAGAAACTATGGACGATCTTCTTTAAATTTTGCTTTGATTTCTATTTAACGTTGTTAATGGGATTGGATTCTATTTTCTTTGTCTTACACTCAGCTGTTGAACCTGTTAAATTGGTTATCAAGTTATTGATTCATTGTGCCAGTCATGGAAAAATATGGCGACTATTGAGGAGATCTAAGTCTGATGTAGGCATATCTTAGCTGTTAACATGATGTCACCTTTTCTGCACTGTGTCCCCATGTGATGCACATTGTGGCTTATTTGTGGTGTACTGCATTATTTTTCTGGCCATTGCACATTCATTGTATCCATGTTGCTTATTTTATCATTGCATTTAACCAGAGTTGAATCTGGGAAAGGGTTTTAGGTTCAATTTTAATGTCGAGTTTATAACATGCAGATACATCATTTATGATTATGTCAACTAGTTTAATTGCAAAGAGGATGTCAGTAGGACAATATCATTTAAACTATAGAACATTCTATAAAGTAGATGAAATTGTTCATTCAAGAGCTGTATATATTTTTTAATTGGATGTTATATCCATATTTTTACAAATTGTAAATTATTACGGGCTTTTCAAAAATGCCTAAAGCATTGTATATATATCTTAATTATTCTTAATCAATTATTTTTTAGGATGAAAATACCCATTCAGAATGTAAGATGAATAGAGGAAGAGTTGTCATGGATGGGTAAACTGGGGGAAACTAGTTCTAAGGATGGGGAGTTCATCCTCCAAATTCCGCAAACACCTGAGTAATGGAGATGAAGTGGCAGCGCTTCACCTGTATAACAGCAACAGTGACCTCAGGAAGGGCCTTGACCCAAACTGTTCCTATGGTGACCATCATAACCATGAAACACCTCTGCATTATGCAGCAAAACATGCTATGAAAAGCTTATTAAGGTATGCAATCTCCACTGCTGTAAACAAGGTTAAAAAGAATATGAAGAAAAAATTTAAACTGCAATACCTGAATACAGTAAGAATAAGACGTGTAATAAGTTTTTTTTTTCTTTGGAAGGTAATATTTTTTTCAATTGTGTTCATAATAGTTTGGCATTTACTTAAATTTTTAGTTATCACTGTTAAAACTAGAATTAAAGTCTATATTATAGCAATGCAGAAAAATATTAAGAACAGTTTAAAAGTCAGTGACATATTTAAGACTCTTTCAAGTATGAATGTATGAAACTTGGAAGATTTTAGTTCTAATGAGTACATGTACTAAGTGGATATTTTCAAAATTTCTTTATTAGGATTTTCCTACATGACCATAGTGGAAATCCAAACAAGACAAATGGAAAGAAAGAAACCAGTCTGATATGTGTTTGCATGGAGAAGCCAGAACATGCCCAGTTTTACCCTGTGCAGAGGAAGAGGTTAGACTGTCTTCTGATTCTGCTGAAGTGGAGAGGACCAGAAACTGAAGATGGAGAGAGGGAGAGGGTAAATCTAGGCTCACAGGATGAGGTTTGTCATTTATCAACCATCTCAGTTTATGCTTATGATATATTGTCTAAGGAATTGCAAAGCAAAGCATTAAGCAGACTTAATATATGATTGTATACTTTTTCAGAATGACAACACTGCACTTCATTATGCTGCGCTGTCAGGACTGAAATACTGTGTAGAAGTAGGTATTGATGTAAAAAGGAATACATGTGATGTTTGTGGAAACCTTTTTTTGATATAAGAATGACCTTTACAACTACCGGTATTCTACCCCTAACATTCTCTACATTTCTTTATTGTAGAAGTTGGTCCAATCCGGTGCCCCACTGTTTATTGAGAACAAGGACAACCAGACCCCCTGTGACTGTGCAGAGGCCGGCTCACATCCAGAAATCGCTCTTTACCTGGAGTCCAAAATGGTTTTCTCTGTAAGTCACACCTGACAAGTAAAATTATGTCATTGAAGGGTGAAAGAATAATGTGAAGAAATTTGATAAATGAATCATATATTTTAAAATATTCGCCCCTTTTTAAGTTTTTTGTTTATATTGATACAGAAGATGGTTCTGTGTTTCATTGTATCAAAGTTTCAGATGCTGCAATTTTAGCAAAGAAATGACCAGGTTAATGTTTTTGGAGCAGGTTAACATTTTTGGTGCAGTTTTTGGTGTGGGTTTCATTTCCAAGTAACTATAAGCCCTATGTTAACCAAACTTGCATGGATGATACATCTAAGGATGCATACTACCGGGCTTGCTTCAGATGCTGAATCTGACCTACTTTTTTTGAGTGAACAGGTTAAAGTTTTTTGGTGTAGGTTTCATTTCCAAGTATCTTAAGTCCTATGTTGACCAAACTTGCATGGATGATACATCTAAGGATGGATACAACCAGGCTTGCTTCGGATGCTGAATCTGACCTACATTTTCTGTTTGAGTGAACAGGTTAAAGTTTTTGGTGCAGGTTTCATTTCTAAGTATCTGTAAGTCCTATGTTGACCAAACTTGCATGGATGATACATCTAAGGATGGATACTACCAGGCTTGCTTCGGATGCTGAATCTGACCTACATTTTCCGGTTGAGTGAACAGGTTAAAGTTTTTGGTGCAGGTTTCATTTCCAAGTAACTATAAGCCCTATGTTGACCAAACTTGCATGGATGATACATCTAAGGATGGATACTGCCGGGCTTGCTTCGGATGCTTCTGACCTACATTTTCCAGTTGAGTGAACAAGTAAAAGTTTTTGGTGCAGGTTTCATTTCCAAGTAACTATGAGTTCTTTAATGACCAATCTTGCATGGATGATACATCTTAGGATGCATACTACCAGGCTTGCTTCGGATGCTGAATCTGACCTACATTTTGTGGATGAGTGAAAATGTTAGTTTTTGATGTATGTTTCATTTCCAATTAACTATGAGCCTTATAATGTGCAAACTTGCATGGACGATATCTTAGGATGCACACTAATGGACTTGCTTCGGATGCTGATATATATTTTTCAGATAATTTAAAGTTATGGTTGCAGGTCTATTACCAAAAAACTTTAAGGCTTTTATAACATTGTATAAACCAAACTTGCACAAATGTTGCATCAAGAGATGAAAACTGATGCTGAATTACATTTTCATGAATACTTTAAATTTTTTATGTTGGTCTACTTCAAAGTATCAGATCATAATTGCTTAGATATTTTCATTTTTGGAATGTACATTTTTTGTTGGTTAATTGTGTGACTTTGCCTTATTTAAAGACAACATTCGTTGAGGTGAGCTCTGTAATCTCTGATTACCTATGGTTTGTTTTACAGAGTGTTGGGAATGAAGATGAAACTGATGAAGTTGCCTCCATAATGGAACCAGAGGTATGTGACCATTTTTGATATACTTCTTACACCTCTATTTTTGATGTTGTATTCAGAGGGTCTGAGAATTTTCTATTTTGACTGTACATTACAGGAGTACAGTGGATTACGGGCCCAGGATTTACAGGAAGCTAAGGACCAGTTACTGGTGGAGACAGCAGACATGTTGAGTGTGCCACTGTTTACCGCGGAAGCACTGCTCCGAAATCATGGCATGTTATATAATCCTTGATATTGATAATTTATCATTGAATGCCTCATTGCAGAATTGGTCATCACTATATTGTGACTTGAAGCTGACAGATTTTAAGAATCATTTGCATTTATACCGTCCAAAATGTTTAGTATCACATGTATTAATATTGAATTATAATAAATTCTATACTTCAGCTTTGATACGTAGTAATATGTCAGAGAATGGCTAGTATAACTGCCTGCCACTTGTAAGCCCTGCCTGATGGGTCTGTACTTTGTAGAGTGGTCTCGTGAGATGTTACTAGAAGCCTGGATGTCTGATCCCCTACACTGTTGTGAGAAGTCGGGTGTCCACCCTCCAGCCAGTGTTTTCTGTGATAAACCCGTGGTACAGCATTCACTGCACACAGATCAGCCTCGTCCTGAGACTCAAAACTCCACAGGAATTGTAAGTTTGTTAAATCTGTGTAAAGTCTGTTGACTCTGACCAATGTCTTATTTTCTAGAGTTTGAGTAAAAATATAAATTTTGAACAGATTGCATTGGAGTATTATAATTAATATTTTAGTTTACATCATTCTGACCATTTAAATATGATTCCATTTTTCTCAGCTTTACTACAGTTATGTATATATAATTAAGCCTGCTTTGTTTTTGTCATTTTAGTGTGATATTTGCATGGAGTCCTTCGTGATTTCAGAAGACCATGTGAGCATGACCTGTGATCACATGTTCTGCAGAGATTGTTGGAAGGAGTAAGTCTACATCTGTTAGTTATTCTTAAAAGTCAACAACAATAAAAATTTATTTTAGTTTCAGCCTAGACAGATGTAATTTTAATTACCAACAATTTTCACAACCAGACAGTTATTGAAATATTGCTCAAACCAGATATACCTGCTAACATTATACATGTATTTTGTTGTAAATCTGTTTAAAATAAACAGATTACTTTGAACCAGATATCAACTGAAATGTGTATTATTAGAACCGATTTAGCAATTGAGTGTACATACACAGTCCTACATGGTACATCCTCTTAAACTGACAGAGAATATTTAAATTTTAATTTAACCACTCAGGTACTTGAATCTCAAGATACAGGAGGGAGATGCCCACAATATAACATGTCCCGCCTATCAGTGTGATAAACTGGCTCCTGTAGAACTCATAGAGGGCATTGTGTCACGTGACATGGCCAGAAGATACCTACAGTTTGACATCAAGGTATGGGGTATCCTTTCTCAATTCTTGCTATATGTGTTTTTCCTGACAATACAGAACGATACTAGAGGTTGATTTATTCTAGGCGTTTGTGGACAGTAACCCTAACATTAAGTGGTGTCCATTTCCTGGGTGTGGGCGGGCAGTAAAACTTCCTGACCAGGAGGAACGGAACAAGAAAATCCCTGTGGACACTTCTCGAGCCGTGGATTGTGGAAATGGACACTATTATTGCTGGTATACTTGTTTACATTATCATGAAATTCTCAGTGGACCAAAAGATACTATATTTTAAAGTATTTATAAGATTAATTACAAAATAATAATTCTGATCACTAGAAAGAGCAACAATATTCTGAAAACCTAGAAAATAAGAATTAAATTTCTTCTCTCTATAACAAGAAAAAGGCTTTGTGATTGGCTATAAAAACATTTGAAATGAGTAGGAAACCAGAGATAGGTTGTTAAGGTTTATTTAAGGAATGACTCTAATTCTTGACCAAATTATCGAGTATAATCTGGTTTGGGTCAGTTTACGCTTTATAATCTGCGGAGCGGATTATAAAAAAGCGTAAACTGACCCAAACCTGATTATACGCGATAATTTGGCCAAGAATTAGAGTCATTCCTTATAATTTAATTTTAAAATAATTAAACAACTTTGGATGTAAAATTGTGTTGCTTTTTACGAGTTCAAATTTACTGCGCAATAATACAAACGTAGTAACGAAAGTGATGTGAAGCGAGGGGAGGTAATAACTAAAACATAGATCTAGCAGCCATGATGTGTGTTACATGAGGTAAGATCGAGTAAGTGTTTGAAGTTAAAGATACAGTTATTAAATCTTGAATTTTCCATGGATTCCGAGGACTGGAAATGAGGGGATTGCATGGATAAGATGATTAAGCTGGTCGTCAAGGGGGTGTGTCCCCATACCAAACCAGATTATACAAAATATTTTGCGTTCCTTTTTGGAAATCAACCAATGAGAGGCGAGAATATAAACAAAATTAAATTATATGTTGTTTACATGGTGACATATAAATATATATTTTCTAGGGATTGTCTTGGAGAAGCTCATGAACCAAGCAGTTGTGATAATTGGACAAAATGGTTTCAGAAGATCAGTGAAATCAGACCAGAAGAAAGTTAGTGTTTAAATTTTTACACATTGCATGTTTTTGCATACATTGAAAAGTTAATGAATTGATAATATAACAGACAGATAGACAGATTTTTAAAATCAAGTTTTTTTATACAATGTTTTGCCTACACATATGACTGATATACACTGTACTTGTTACTCTCCAGTGAGTGGTACAGAGGAGGAGACTGATGCTGCAGCTAACTGTTTGTGGCTGGTGACCAACTCTAAACCCTGTCCTAACTGTAAATCTCCCATCCAGAAAAACGAGGGATGCAATCACATGAAATGCTCAAAGGTAGGTACCTAGCTGTGTTCTGTTCATCTTCTTTTACATGTACACATGTCAGTTATAAAGTTATGTATATTAAGAGTGTTGATTGTTTAAATAAAATCAAACCAACAGAATGAATTGATATTCATGAGTCTTCAATGTTTATGTGCTTTCAGGGATTTATCAGTGCCTTCTCAGGGGCCGAAATTCGGCCCCATTCCCAATTGAAAATAAGTTCAATTTTTCCCAATTTGGCAGTATTTTTTCCCAATTGCGTTCTGCACAACATTGCTTTTTTTTTTAATTATCCTTGGAAAATACAAAGTAAATCAGTCAGATTGTCTGTAATTTTCCTCAGTTTAACTCATTTAGCAAAGCTACAGTTGTAACACATGTTTAAAAACATCGCCAACTTTTATTCCGAATTTCCTCAGTTTTTTTCTGAAGTAGTGATATTGTGTATTTCTATAGGTTTATTTACTCATTTTGACTTGCTCAATTGATCTACGAGTGAATGGTTAGAACTGCAGGCATTATTTCAGATAGAAAAATATATTTTCAATGCATATTTTAGAAAGTGTGCATTTAGTTAACATTATTTTGCAGGAGGTTTATTATATTTCCCCAGGGACTTAAGGTCCCTGATCTCCCATGACCTAAACTGGAATTTCATGGCGCACAAATATACTACCTTAAGTTGTATAAAATGAATACTCATTGAATTCAAATTTACATAGCACATTTATTACTCTATTTTTCATACTTGATCTTGTATGGTGATTAATGAAGTTGGATCATATTCAATTGTCTGTTAATTGGTAGCCCAAATTACAGCAGTAAATAAATTGAACCTGAATAGTGAACACATAGTTTAAGCAACATATATTTTTTTCCCAATTTCATCAAAAAGCCGATGTTTCCCAAAATAGGCTGATAAATCCCTGGCTTTGGTGTAATCAATTTTTCCTGTAAAGTTCTTCTGGCTTTTTACTTCTTTTATTGCATTTCAGTGTAAACATGACTTTTGTTGGGTGTGTCTGGACCAGTGGAAGAGACATAACACCAGTACCGGGGGATACTTTAAGTGTAACCGGTACGAGGCGGTCAAGGTGGTCCAGGAAGCCACTCAAAAAGCACAAACAGAGGTCAGTAAACCTCCATCTAGATAATACTGGCTTTTGACCTCTGAATAGTCCTTGACCTTTAATTGTTATTTGTATTTGAAAACTCAGTTTGCATTTAAATTAACAGAAATATGAATTTCTCATGAAAAAGAAACAGCATGAAAAAAGAGAAATAATCAATATTCCTGTTTTATAGGCAGAAGAACAGAATCAGAAGATGCAGGAATTAAACAAGTTTGTTCATTTCTACACTCGCTTTAAAAACCATGAAAACAGCTATAAGGTAGGTTGTTTGATAATTCAATGTTTTTTTAAAATGCATAGTTACTGATTTTGCTACATGTATTTTCAGATTCATAAATTTGGTAAAATTTTTGATAAGAATTTTCCTTTGTCAACATAAACATGTAAAAAAAACAATCAGGCCACATCACATTTAATGTAAAATATTTTTTTAGCTGGAGGAACCATTATTAAATACCACAAAGAACAAAATGATGAAACTAGCTGAGGCTGTCACTGATCTAGGTAAAGCTTGCCAAATTCAGTTTTCACCATTAACAATATTTTTATTAAACAGTGAAAATTACATGTATACTGCAAACCAACTTAATAGCTCGATAAATATTCCAGAGTTTTACAATCTACTTTTTGCTTCATATTTGTAGAGAATGTTTCTCAAGTCTCAAAAATTAATCGTTGCGGATTGATTTCAAACTGATGAATTGTGAATAAAAGATGACATAATAGTAGTTGGTTTACAGTATTTCTTTAAATTTACTATAATAATACATGTGTAGTAGTCTTACATTGATTGTTGATGTGGTATTTTCCTGCTAGCTTCAGCCAACTCAGAGACTCAGTTTGTTGAGCATGCTGTCCAACAGTTGCTCAAGGCTCGCCGAGTTCTCAAGTGTTCATACGTGTATGGATATTATCTGGATGGACCAGGCTACATGAAAATTGTGTTTGAGTTTATGCAGGTACAAATTCTGTCAAATCTTACCAAATATAGCCTCTGTACCACTATTTTTGGTCCTTTGAAACTTAGTGTTACTTGTATTCAAGAATAATTCATGACAAGCAGTTATTGTAAAATCTCATATTTTTGTGATTTAAGGTTAAAAAATATTGGTTCCAAGGGAATTTGATTTCATTGTTGAAAGAAATACCAGTACTGTTTTGTTATACATCAGAATTTACATTTCTTGGAAGAAATGAATTTTGTGGATCTTTTCATACCACAAAAACAATACATATTAAAACCCCAAGCATTGTTATTTCAAAAAATGATATTGAAATAAAATACTTCTTGTTTGAGTTCCTGAATCCTTTTCCTTTACAGACAGAGCTTGAGGAGACAACAGAGATCCTATCTCAGATGGTGAATCGTTTATATTTACGGACTCCCAAGAAACGCATCATTGAGCAGGCTCAGCTGGTACAGAGGAAAAGGCATGAGTTCATCCTGGCAATATCTAAAGGGCTAGTACCCCCAGAAACCCCTCCAGGGCTCCGTAAACACCGCAAGCGGAAGTACAGCATGGAAACAGAAGACGTGAGTTAGCTTTGTGTCTTAGGAAAAAGTTGATAAAGTTTGAAAAATTATATTAATTTCCGAATATTTCATATTTTGGAAAAAGAAGAGATTTCTTTAAATGATTTAAAGTCAACACTGTTTGTGCCAGCTTGATGTGTTTACTAAACCTATTTGATTAATTTTGTATGCTTAGATATATTAAATATGACTTTTTCTTGGAATTTTTAGGAACAGTTACGTAAAGCTATTCTGGCATCAATACAAGAGGTTGACCCAGCTAAACCTTGGATCAAAGATGCATCTGGTCGTCATACCAACGTAATGGCTGTCCTAGACTGGCCCAATAGTGATGATTCAGACACAGATGACTTATATACAATTGAAGAGGGTAATTCTAATGCTACTTCAATATTAAAGTTATTCATAAGAAATGTATTGATTATTTGTAAAGCTTGAATCTCAAAAAAAAGTCCTGGAAATACATGTACATTTCTCTTAAATTACTATAAAAGAAGGAGATATTTTCACCATCTTTGTTTCTTTCATTAATTAATGAGGAGAAATCTATGCTTTCATTTTAGGGAAGTGTCAGAAGATCTCTTGTGACAATCCACGAGCCAGAAATCCTCGTACCGGTGAGATTCATGGCTACTGTAGTCGGCAGTGTATGTACGAGGACAAAATAGAAAACCCAGACCAACCAGGTCAGTGATTGTAGGTGGACAAAAGTTTTCAGAACCAATTCTCATGCAGATGTTGTTTGCTACTTTGATTGCATAGCATGGTACTTCCATTCATGTCCTGTTTCATTAAACAATTTGGCTTTTCCAATCTACTTTGTCCGAGAAAGATCTTGTTTATTTATAGCTAAGCTTAGGAATCTTCACAGTAATTTTATCGTAGACTTGTATTGAAATCTCTAATCTATTTAAAGTGACACTTAGTGCATTGTATCTATGTAGTTATTCAGTATACTGAGGAAATTTTCTTCTCAGAGCCTGTCCAGGAGGTGATTATGGATGAGCAGATGGATTTATTACGAGCCCTGGAGATGTCCAGACTACAGTTTCTACATGATCAGGGCATCATCACAGCAGACAGAAGTTCTATATCAATACAGTAAGTAACCATAGTCTGTGAAGTCATACAGATGTAAAGTATGATATCAAAAGACCATGAATAAAGCTGACCAGGCTCACTATACAAGCAAGTTAACAGAAAATAGACATAAAACAATTTTATTAACATTACATGAACATTATTTTTTCACCTTGACAACTTTTTACAATTACATTGACCATTTACATAAATACAAATTGAAGAAGTTTTGAGTGAATTAAACCAGTGAAATGATTTTCTCTTCATATAAACTAACCCATAGATCTGTATAATGTGGTATATTTACCCAGGAAATGTTTTTTACCAAATTTGTAGCATGCCCCCTGAAGATTCTGTGGCCTCCCCATCACTGGGAGCTGAAGAAACCGTGAGACAAAGGTCACCAAGGTTACAGAAAAAGTCCCCCAAACAGAAATCCCCAGGGTCCAAGGCTAAGGGTAAAGGAAAAGGAAAGAAAACAATACAGGCTGCTCTGGAGGAGTTGGATGTAGAACTTCAGAGGGTGTTGGAAATCTCATCCATCAGTCCAACAGGTAAGAAAGTCAAAGCAAACTTTAAAACATTTATCAATCTACACCCTCTTTGCTCTTTCCATTATGGTATCTGTTTGATTATTATAACAAGGATTTGAATGAATCAAGATTTCCTGATTTTAGGACTGAAAGAGCTTCTGTATTTGTTCAGTCAATCTGATTATCAGTAGGGTTGTCTACCTGTGAATAATATTTTATAATTCTACTCTTCCTTTATTCATTTTTTCCAAATTTAGTTAAAACTTTGAACAGTGCACACATCATAATGATATATAACCATGAGTATCAGAGTATATCTCCAGAGTTTTTTCCCTTGGTCCCAGGTTTGAAATATTGAGACTTGACTGTACCTGTACTGAGAAAAATGTTTAATCTATTTTTTCTTCAAAAATGTCCTTCCTCTGAATGTTTGCCATTAGAAATGACCATTATCCCACGCTTGATGTGAGTTTTGTGTCACTTCCAGAATTACAGGAGACCATGAGGAGTGATCAGAGGTCACATGATAGAGGTGCCGGAAAACCTCGCAGCCGATTTGACAACACAGGGGCGCTCTGTGTTCAAAGTGTTCCCAACAGAAGTGTAGAGGATCTAGATCACGACGACTGTATTAACTGCAATTTCGGTATGTTCTTTGAGAAATGCATTTTGCAAATACTTAAGAATCTCTTTTATATCATTTAAAATTATTCAAAAAAATTTAAATTTTATAAATACATATACATGTATCTTTTTTCCGTTGCATCTTACAAGCATTTAGAGAAGGCAAAAAATTATGGTAATTATTACTCGCTTAGGAAAGCATTTCCATCATTTGTCTCCCTCTTCCTGTATTAAAAGATTTCTTGCTTACTAACTGCTTGAACAAGCAATATACCAGAAAGATTTAGATCCAGCCAGTAAAAGACTGAATTACAATTTACTTTTGAAGTATTTTTCATAAAAACAGTTTATTTACAAATTTTTGAATTAAATACTGCAAACCAACAATTATTCGCGTCATCTTTAATTCGCGATTCGTTCGTTTGAAAACAATCCGCGAGCATTAATTTTTGTGACCAAGGAAACATTTTCTACAAATACTAAGCAAAATTACTTATTCACTGCAATTAATATTCATGAGTTGAAGTCGGTCGCGGAACTCGCGAATATTTATCGCGCGCGAATAAAAGTTGGTTTACAGTACTATTTTAGATCTTTTAAGAATTGTCAAATGATTACCATATTAGATGTGATAAAACATAGAAAAATTATTTAATGATATTCCATTTTGTGTAGTTGATCCTGAAAGGAGGAGTTCAAATGAGGACCAAACCCCCACCACCCCCAGATCATCTGTCTGGCCCCTTCCTGATGCAACAGGGGACCACTTACCGTTAATCAGTCAAGCAAAACCCACATCACCCAGAAGAACCAGCTCAAACTCGTGCTTTGGGATCATCAAAGACATCAGTGTCTCTAATCTTCACACAGGGGAGTCCGACAAAATCAGAGATATGGAGGAGAAAAACTTGGCTCTCCTGGCCAGCACTAAAGTGCCTGAGGAGGATTCAGACCCCCTCCCTTCTCTTCCAGGACCAACAGGGTACAGTAGCAGACTACACCAATCAATCAGGGACCAAGCTTATAGCTTCAAGAACAGCCTGGGACTGTTGGCAGCCAACACCCCAGGTGATGAACATATTCTTCTGTTACAGAGCCCGGAGACTCCAGAGCATGTAACTCTGGGGTATCCAGGACAATCGTGTAATAGGGGTGGTGTTTCGTTAGAGTATGCAGATGTAGACATTCATACCGAGAATTCTCCAGAAAGCGATTCTGAACATGATGCATGTCACAAATTTTTATCGACATTAAAACCCCCAACAGATGGCTTTCTGGATTCTCTGAACGTCTGTGTCAATGATATAAAACCATTCAAGGTTACCCCACCACAAGATCTGTCTTTACTTGCTGAGGGGAAGGATTCTGACACTCTACAGGCTGACAAAGTCATGGCACCACTAGAGTCATTCTTAGATGCCTGGGCCACAAAGAGTGAGAGTCAGATTCAGAGTGAGGCTGGGAATTATAGTGCTATAGAGGACACAACAGTCCCTTTATATCACAGTGAAGAGCTCATGCTTCCAGCAGAAACTGTGGTGCCTACACCAGTAATCCAATCAATGCTCCCAGGAAATGAGGATGGCCTTCAATTACTGGATGTAGAAGATGAACAGGAAGTTGAGGAACTAGCTCCACCTAGTGGTGACATTGTCGAAGCTGAAGAGGGAGATAACTCAGTTTATGTTTAAGATGGAGATTCTTTCAATGCATGTGATATTTGTCAAACCTTGATATTTCTTTATAGTGTGCCCTTTTTAATTAATATATTAAGATTTTATTTATAGTTATTTATTAAGTAACAAAGTAGCTTAATCATGTACAGGTACGAGGGTTGATCCAAAAGTTCGTGGAATTTCCTCATACTTTATTGATTTTTAAATGGAATTGGTTGAAAATTACAAATGAAAATATAGACACTTGATGAATATTTAAAATTTAAAAATATTTTTAATATCTTTGATAGTAACTCTATGGCAGTTGCCATGGAAACGGTTGTTTGGAAATGCGGGGGAGACTTTAACGCGTTTATTATTACTTTAATTCTTAATACGTGAAATGAGAATTAAACCGCCCTATGTGGTATATAAAACGAAAATTATGTCATTATTACGATTGCTTGATCTTTTATAAATGTTTGTATGAGAGTTTTACTGATTTTACTGGATATTTAATTTATAAGTTGATGATTTATTGGTCATCTTTAAGTTGTTAGACAACGTCAAATTTCGGTCAAGTCATACGTTTTGTGAAAATTCCGGGATCACTCTATCTTAAACGCGTATATCATTGACAGAGGCCGGGGGGAAATGCACTTAGTAACTGGTTTTCCAGTAGCATAAGAAATTTAAGAAAAAATAGAACTTTCATGGACGTTGATTTAGGATGTGGTCGCTTTTTGGAGGCTCTGTTTTAAGTGCATACCCCCGTAGACAAATCAAAAGCGTCAATGGACGTTGTTGGCTGCGGCACTGTTCTTGACTTTGCTACTGATATTGGAACATCATATGGAAAGATTGGGAGTTTTTTGAAACATGAGCGAAAAATGACGATAAGTTGGTGCGAGAGGATACCCAGGCCTTTCTTGAGAAAAAAAATGGAGGAAAGGGCAGCATTTTGTAGAATAAAGTATTCAAATTGGTCATTAGGATAAGATGCTTCTATAACGTGACGTGACATATCTAACTTGACGTTACGTCGAAGTCTCCCCCGGGTTTCACAACTATGCATTTTCAGAAAGTTCGTGTGACCTTATTAGTAATTGGAAAGTGATGAAATTTTCCAATATTGTTGCATTATGACTCTATTTTATTAATATGCCTGTTGTTTGCTTTCATCAAATCACGATAAAATTTTAGAAAGAAATTCCACGAACTTTTGGATCAACCCTCGTACATAGATTTGTGTGTGTATTTATGGAATAGATTGCTATATGTATGCACAAAGAAGGCTATTCATAAAAATATGTTTATTTGTAACTGAAGATATGAACAGCAATGCATATTACTTCTTACATGTTATAGTAGAAAGGCTTGTTTGTTTTACATGAATGAATTAACACAGATTTATACTTGTAGGTCCTATGGACCTGTTAATTTGCTTTACCTGTAATTCATTATATAAATATTTTCATTTGATTACATGTAAACATGTATTTAACAAATTTGCTAAACATATGTTTATATTTTTTTCATGGAGGAAGCAAATGTTTAGGGAAGTATTAAATACAAAACTTGACGTATAGTAATAAAGTTTTCAGATGTAATAAATTGCAAACGTAAATACAACAAATATTGGGTCAATATCTTAAATTTTGACATTTTTAAAGAATTGCTTTAAAAGATGTAAATTCCATCTGATATATCAGTTCTCTGTTGGATGCAAAATAAATCTGCTCCATCTGTAAATTTGTCGATTGAATTCAGACTTCTTATAACCAAACATTTTAAAAATCATTGTTAAGAATTTTGCCAGTGTTCCAAAAAACACAATGTCCACTCGATCAGTAAATTCACAATATCTGTTTTCACTATGAGCAAGTTTTAGTGTAATAGAAAATTCCCTCCACGTTTTAAAAGTTGATTCTTTATAAAAGCACCTTGTCCTGTCATTTCTGATGACAGAGGTGGTATGTGTTGTAAGTGTCTGGTAGACTGTTGTTGATGATTGATTAAGCAGTTGTTGAAGTTGTGTTTAATAGGTATGTTGACAATGACTAGGCTGTTGTTGACATTTTAATTTAGTAGGTATGTTGACCAAGATGTTGTTGATGATAAGTTTACTAGGTATAACAATGTTGACTAGGCTGTCATTGACAATGAGTTTAGTAGGTACATGTATGTTAATTAGGATGTCATCGAGGTTGAGTTTAGTAGGTATGTTGACTAGGATGTTGTTGATGATAAGTGTAGTAGGTTGTTTAGAAGAATAAGGTTGATGGTTGAAGACTCAGTTGTTGTGTTCAAAAGAAAGACTGCTGTTGTACATGACATTCAATTAAGTCATTTTCAGGGTCTTTTTTCTAGGTTTTTAGAGCTATTATAAACTTGACTTTGGGATTTTATCTCCAAGGTTGTATACAATGTTTAATCTCATATAATACATGGGGTAAAAATCAATTATTTAAAATTCATGCAGTTGAATTTAAAGGTATGAATTCCTTTTAATCTTTTACAATTTATATTAGGTATTGACTTTTTGTAAGAATTTGAGGTGGGAAGATTTATTTTACCCATGTGTTTTGAGATAATGCAAAAAATAATACACTGTACAAGATGTCACAACAGTCGCATACAAACACACACATATAGACACACTCTCACATTGATATGATACATGTAGTAAGTCTACTGATTAAATTAAGACAATTTTCTGTAGTTTATAGTGGACACACTGTGATATCTTTATTTAAAGTCAAGCTGTTTAATTGTTGAAAGAAGTGAAATTATGGTTGTCCAGATAATGATTAGGAAAAGATTCAAATTTATTACTTGATAACTATTTTGCAATTTTTATGTGTTTTGTTATGATTTTTTTATTTTTCCATTTATAAAACCCAATTGAAATTATGCACATGCATATAAATTTCTAATTTGGTTCACAGATATTTCTTAACAAAATAATTATATTGAAACAGTGCCACAAACATTGTATATATATGATTTGTATGCTTCAATATATTAAAAATTCTGTGTATATTTATATATGAATTTCAAAACCTAAACAGTTCAGATTTTTGAAGAACTTAAAAAGTTTTAACAAAGAGTAGTAAATTCTTTGAAAGGAAATGTAAAACTGTAGTTTTTTTTATATGATAGAACAATGTGCATGTTTATCATCAGTTAGATATGAAGTGATCAAATTCATTATCATTATCATCAGTAGGGCTCAACTGTTAAGTACAGAAAGTTACTTTTACTATCCATTTGTTGTTCAATCAATTAAAAATACATGTACAAGTATTCTTATACTTTAATATTATCTGCAAAAATAGATACTGTTTCACAATCAATTGCATATTTTTAATAATTACAAAGACAATTGGACAGCTTATATAGTTACCTTCAATGTGTAAAATAGCAGTAAAAATACTATTCTGATAATGTTTATGTACATGTATAGACATTTTTTGTCATAACAATTGCAAAATACTCTAACACTAATTATCACAACAAATGATGACAAAAAGAATGTGGAATTGAATTCTATATTCTGATCTCGGAAGATAACACATTTTCATATGTTAGTTTAAATAGAGTATGATAAAGTTGTACGCATGCTTTGCTTAAAATATTTATGGTAAGTTGTATTGCACATTGCCTCTTTAAAGAATATACATGTATAATATCAATGTAAAATGTCAAGAAATACGTAGTGCGAAAAAATGATATAATTTTATGCAGTGGTTTTAAAAGATTCAGGGTTCCTTTTCTCTCTTGCGATTTAAGTGTGTTCAGTCAGTGCCAAGTATATCATATCAGATAAATATATTTTTATTATGATAGCAACGGAATTGAATTTTGTTGTATTACAGTGTTGTTGCTCTAGTGACATTCTTATTGTGTTAATTAATCTGAATTCTAAGTGAACTTTTCCTCTCACTGGAATAATTTTGCTCTATGAATAACCATGCTTTTCAGAATTTGGCTTGTGATTTATGTGTAACTTAACATCTATGACTACATTAAATTTTGGAGGTGTCTCTTTGCCGTTTTAATTATTAAGATTTGGTACTTCATCATGACTTATGGGTGTGTCCATCTCTTTCTACACTTTTATGTGCACAATAATCGAAGCACCTCTCGAACTATGACAACATACTTACTAATTTGATGATTATTACAATTTAGAAAGCCACAAGTCAAGGTCAAAGGTATAGAGATCGTTATCATCTTGACCTTTTTGTGATACATATTTAGCTGTTCTTTACCAGGTGTTCTCCATTATAATACCCATTGTGACCCTATCCTACACCCAGGGCTCATAATCTGGACAGTTTAGAATCTACATTACCTAACTTAAAAGATGTTTCCACATGAGTTTCATCTTTTCTGGTCCACTTGTTTTTGAGAAGATGATGTTTAAAAAAAATTTCTATACATTTCAATGTAAAACTTGAATTCCCTGTTGTGGCCTCGCCCTACTCCCAGGGGTCTTGATTTGAACAATTTGGAATCTACACTACCCCAGGATGTTTTTAAATAAATTTCAGCTTTTCTGGCCCAGTGGTTCTACACTGTGAAGAAGATTTTTCCTATAAATTTCAATGTAAAACTTGAATTCCCTATATTGTGGCCCCGTCCTATCCTCAGGGGTCGCGATTAGAATAATTGAGAATCTACACTACCCCAAGATGCTTCCACTTAAGTTTCAGATTTTCTGGCGCAGTGGTTTTTGTGAAGATTTTAAAAGAGTTTCCTATATATTTCAATGTAAAACTTGAATTCCCTATTGTGGCCCTGCCCTTTCCCAGGGGATCATGATTTGTACAATTTATAATCTACACTACCCCAAGATGATCCACATAAGCTTCTGGTCCAGTGATTCTTGAGCAGATTTTTTATTGACCCCACCTTATTATCTTTTCTTTGATTGTCTCCCCTTGTGAAGTGAATTTAGCCCTTCATTTTAACAATATAAACTCCTTTTCACCCAAGGATGCTATGTACCAAGTTTGGTTAAAATTGGTCCAGTGGTTCTAGAGAAGAAGTTGAAAAAGTGAAAAGTTTACAGACGGAGGGACGACGCACAACAGGTGATCAGAAAAGCTAAGCGCCATCTTGAATTTTTCTAGGTCTGTCATAACCACTTGTATTTTCGCCTGAAACGTCCGTAAAATAAATTCCCTGTAACCATATTCTTTCGGTGGCCAGTCTTTCGAGGTCTAAACTTACGGACAGTGCAACCAGATGGGCGCATCACACTGGCAAATATTAAAAATCCCTCGTCAAACTCGATCTACTGCTTCAACATTATATAAATGGTAGTGTAGTCTACTTGTGTGCCAAGTTATACTGAAATCAGACCAAAACTGTAGGAGGAGTAGCATTTTGAAACTATTTCAAAATGATAACATTATAATGTATAGTGGGGTATTTTTTGTGGAACGATTATTTTGGGGGTTTCACGATTTTTATTTCCCTGGATCAAAAGATTTCGGGAAATATTGTTTTTGTCTTGTCTGTCTGTTTATCTGCCTGTTGTCAACTTTAACCAAGCCCATAACTATTGAGTGGGTGGAGCTATGATTTTCATGCATCACAGATGTATTCTTTGTGACATGACCTTTCTTTAGGTATCACCAAATTTGACTTCTTGACCTTGAGTTCTGAGTTTGACCCACTTTTACCAAAAAATACCACACTTTAACCTTGGCCATAACTTTTAAACAGTTGGACCTAGTGCTTTCATCCTTCACATGTGTATTAATTTGTCAAGACCTTTCAGCTGGTTTAAAAATATTTGACCTTGACCCCAGAGTTTGACCCACTTTTTAAAAACTTATAAGCCTTAGTCTTAACTTTTGAACAGTTAGAACCAAGGACTTTTATATTTCACAGGTTTATTCCTTGTAACAAGAAATTCCTTAGGGTACCAACAGTAACAAGAAATTCCTTAGGGTACCAACACTTTTGACCTTGAACTTTGGAGTTTGACATGCATTTGAGAAAATTCAACCCTCGCCCTCGCCATCAGCTACCATACGGGGGCATCATTGTTTCACAAACACATCTTGTTTCCTTTGGTATACATGACGAATAAGTGTCATAAATATAAATTTTGAAAAAATGTCCAACAAACACCGGGGTTGACAATCGGGGGAGGGGGGGGGGGTTCCTATCTACAAGTACCTGTGGGTACTGAAGGTTTGTAGATCTGTTTGCCGGGTCAAGAATTTAGAAAACGCGAATAATATTCTATTTAGAGTGCATAGATCAAGGACTTGGATACAATTCATTGAGAATCTGAGTATCACGTCTCTGGAGAGGGTAGGGGTCTAGAACCCCGCCGTTTCATTTCCTAGATTACAGTATTTTTTTAATAATTATCTTTATTAGGCTAATATTTCAAGATTCTTATAAAAGACAAGCATTATGTTTCAAATTATGAAACCTTTGGGACATCTGTTTGGTCGATGTCTCACGCTCTTAAAATGTGAAACGATCATGATATTGCTTAACATAAGGGGATGACTGAACTCGATCTACTTGTCTTGGTAGAAAAAAAAAATGAAGCTGACGTAAACTGTAACGACAAGGAAGAAAAACCAAGACGAGAAGCGGGCGAGTAGTACCATACTAGTTCTAGTTTAAGAACTTTATATAAAATTATACAGAAAAAAGAATATAATAATTATATATAAACGTATTTTAACACAAAGTTGAGGTGGGTAATGGATTTTCGCTACAAAATGTATCACCTTTCGAAAAAGGAAATGACAAGAAAGGAAAAACATTGGCAATACTGAGACACTTACTAGTATTCACATGCATGCTGTTATTTGTGAACATTAGCAATAATAGTCCCCTCCCGGCAAGCATCCTCTAATTCCCATTTATTGGGAATGCCAGAATTCTGAGAAAAAAAAATCATATTGAAGCCAAACAAAATGCTTACTTGAATTAAACCCGGTATCTCATCAATAAAGGCTCACATACCAAAAATCAGCTCAATATCCAATTAAAGCAAGTAGAAAAAAGTACAGAAAACCATTAAAAGTATAAGGACGAAATTCCGTCAAAAATAGACTATAATAGTTAAGAATTTATTTCATATCACTTAACAAAAAAGCCCAAATGAATAACAAGGAAAATGGATAAAATAAAAATCTTATATAATTTACACAGGCGACTATAGGCTATTACATGATTAAGTTGTTTTATTGTATATAAAAGGCATTGTTATAAAATCTCCAGTATTATCACGAAGATTTCTTGGCCGTTTCAGGAGGCCCCTTTTATCGTGTTCCATATGTACCACAAGGTGGAGCCACATTGATAGGCCAATTACACAGCTGTAGAGTTTCGTCAAAAACCAAACCTGTAAATATGAAATATAACAAAATCCAAATGCATGTGTACAATAACCCAGCAATTCCGATCTTCGTAACGATAAAGTAGATGTTCACTTTAGTACTATAAGTCTGTACGGAAGCGTATTAGTGCCACTTGCACACTTTACTTTTTTTTAATTTCGACACTTTAATCTGTAAATTTTACACTTTAATCTGTAAATTTTACACTTTAATCTGTAAATTTTACACTTTAATCTGTAAAATTTACACTTTAATCTGTAAATTTTACACTTTAATCTGTAAATTTTACACTTTAATCTGTAAATTTTACACTTTAATCTGTAAAATTTACACTTTAATCTGTAAATTTTACACTTTAATGTGTAAATTTTACACTTTAATGTGTAAATTTTACACCTTAATCTGTAAAATTTACACTTTAATCTGTAAATTTTACACTTCAATCTGTAAATTTTACACTTTAATCTGTAAATTTTACACTTTAATCTGTAAAATGAACACTTTAATCTGTAAATTTTACAGATTAATCTGTAAAATTTACACTTTAATCTGTAAATTTTACACTTTAATCTGTAAAATTCACACTTTAATCTGTAAAATTTACATTTTAATCTGTAAATTTTACAGTTTAATCTGTAAATTTTACACTTTAATCTGTAAATTTTACACTTTAAAGTGTAAATTTTACACATTAATCTGTAAAATTTACACTTTAATCTGTAAATTATACACTTTAATCTGTAAATTTTACACTTTAATCTGTAAAATTTACACTTTATTTGTTTATTCACATAGTCAATTTAGCATCTTCACACATCCTCAGTAACACATTTGTAAGCCAATAAAATGTTAGTTTAAGCAAATTTTCTGAATTAATAGGATTTATAGATTATATCACAATTGTGTCATCCATATATTATTTATTTGAAAAAAGTCTAACAGGCCCTGGAATCTATATTGGGTTGGAGGGGTCCTCAAGCACCTGTGATCGGGAATATGTGCATGTATGTTTGATATGCTCTTCACTTTATATTCAAAGAAAAGTTTTAATTTAATATAAAACATCAGAATTAAATTTTATCATGCACGAAACATGGTTTGTTGGCTTAAAAATGTGGGGTCAAGTACAAAATAAGACGAAAATAGTCCCATCCACATAATCTGCAGTAAATCGGTTTTGTTATTATAATATTTTTGAAAGATCATAAATATTCATGTATGATTATATCAATTGTATTCTTATATAAATATATGTACAACACAATAAATGCAAATTACTTTTTAATGAATATTTACAAGCACTTTGACTGAAATAATTTAGTATAATAAAAACCAAGAATAGATCTAAAATAACAACACAAACTTTAATTTTTTTACAATTTGACAGGTCAACAGGTAGACAGGTCGACAGGTTGACAGGTCGACAGGTCGACAGGTCGACAAGTTGACAGGTCGACAGGTTGACAGGTCGACAGGTAGACAGCTTTTTTTTATAATTCAATGTATATTTATTTAGTTATATCACTACAAGTATCATCTTAAGGGTGGGAGGGGGGGGGGGTCACTCATATCATAAGATACATGTACATGTACATTGCTTGCCTAGCTAAAAGTGTAATTTCCATTCTCTTTTCATATGCGCAATGTCTGATAACAATTAGATGTATACATCTCCATTTGACAATCCAAACCTATGACGACATGTTGATATGTTGAATTAAACATGTCTACCTGTCGACCTGTCAACCCGTCGACCTGTCTACCTGTCGACCTGTCAACCCGTCGACCTGTCTACATGTCGACCTGTCTACCTGTCGACCTGTCGACCCGTCGACCCGTCTACCTGTCGACCTGTCAACCTGTCGACCTGTCGACCCGTCAACCTGTCGACCTGTCAACCTGTCGACCTGTTAAGCAAACATAGTAATATTTGTTTGAACAGATAATCTTTTAAATTAATTTATATGCAAGATTACATATCTTGTTTTGTACATTTATAATCCATTTGATATAATAATTGGTTGACGATATAGAATGCAATAAAGAATGCAATCGGTTGGTATAATTCACCAACAATGGCTCTAAATATTCATTAAAATAGCATACATTTAATTCATATACAAAATATGCTAATTTATATTGTTTTGTACATTTATGAATATAAATAAATATGCAAAAATATATATTCTTACGAGGAAAAAAATGGAACTGTTTTCGTCTTATAATGTACTTGAGCCAAAATGTGTTACTGAGGATGTGTGAAGATGCTAAATTGACTATGTGAATAAACAAATAAAGTGTAAATTTTATACTTAAATCTCTAAAATTTACACTTTAATGTGTAAATTTTACACTTTAATCTGTAAATTTTACACTTTAATCTGTAAATTTTACAGATTAATCTGTAAAATTTACAGATTAAAGTGTAAATTTTACAGATTAATATGTAAAATTTACACTTTAATCTGTAAATTTTACAGATTAATCTGTAAAATTTACCGATTAAAGTGTAAAATTTACAGATTAAAGTGTAAAATTTACACATTAAAGTGTAAATTTTACAGATTAAAGTTTGAAATTTACAGATTAAAGTGTAAAATTTACAGATTAAAGTGTAAGTTTTACAGATTAATCTGTAAATTTTACAGATTAAAGTGTAAAATTTACAGATCAAAGTGTAAATGTTACAGATTAAAGTGTCAATTTTACAGATTAAAGTGTAAAATTTACAGAATAAAGTGTAAAATTTACAGAATAAAGTGTAAATTTTACAGATTAAAGTGTAAAATTTACAGATTAAAGTGTAAAATTTACACATTAAAGTGTAAAATTTACAGATTAAAGTGTAAATTTTACAGATTAAAGTGTAAAATTTACAGATTAAAGTGTGAATTTTACAGATTAAAGTGTAAATTTTACAGATTAAAGTGTAAATTTTACAGATTAAAGTGTAAAATTTACAGATTAAAGTGTAAATTTTACAGATTAAAGTGTAAATTTTATAGATTAAAGTGTAAAATTTACAGATTAAAGTGTAAAATTTACACTTTAAAGTGTAAAATTTACAGATTAAAGTGTAAATTTTACAGATTAAAGTGTAAAATTTACACTTTAAAGTGTAAAATTTACCGATTAAAGTGTCGAAATTAAAAAAAAATTAAAGTGTGGAAGTGGCACTAATACGCTTCCGTAGGTCTGAGATCTATTAACTGAACTGATTACATTACATTTGTTACAAAAATTTAGTCGAGAAAAGATTCATTACAGATATCTGATTTTCATTTGACACATTGTTACAGAAAGCTGCTTATAAGTTCCGTTGCACGCGTGACGCAGTGGTTAGAGCGTCTGTTCCAGAATCGCGAAGAAAGGAGTTGATCCTTACGTTGCGGAATCGAATCTCACTGTGGGACATGGAGACAGGTCCTTCGGGTGATACCGTATAAACCGGGGTCCCGTGCTGACACGAAAAAGATCCCTCGCTGCTCAATGGCCGTAAGTGTCGAGTATAGGACAAAATTTGCAGCTCTCCACCGGCAAGTGGTGGCGCCCCCATGTAAGTGGGAAAATTCTCGAGAGAGACGTTAAACAATATACTTACTTTATATCAACAAACAAAACATTTATAGTTCAACAGAGTTCAAAAACGTACCAGTACTACAATAGTTGTGCCCAAAGAATGTGCCCCCGTGACACGTGTAGTAGGACGTACAGTTGGTGAAGAGGTCGGCGTACCGCTTGTTAGGGAGGATAGAGCAGTCCTGCCAGTGTCCGCACGGACGGCCAACATTATCAGGACTAAAAGACAGCAGGAAAGTGGGATTATGGATTAAACATCTCATTCGATTTAATCAACTTAAGTTTTAAATCTACGAGCCAACACTCAATTCTCACTGAAAACGTTATAAACATGTTTGATAAGGATTCCCCCTTCCCTATTTTTTCATAAATATACAGATAACAATATGATAAGATTGTAAAATATTCATTTCTTTCAAAGATAGACGACATACAATGAACGATATATGAATAATTTTTGTCTAATACATTTCTTTTTTCATTTAATTAAATGAAAAAAGGGTTAAGGCAATTAAATAACAAGAGGCCCATGGGCCACATCGCTTACCTGAGTAGTTTTGACCATGCTATTCTTTACCAATTTCCCCCCTTGTAATACAACACTACCACATTGGTCATAACTTGGACAATTTAAAATCTACACTACACACGGATGCTTCCACATAAGTTTCAGCTTTTCTTGCCAAGTAGTTCCTGTGAAGAGGATTTTTAAAGTATATTCCTATATATTTCAATTTAAAACTTGAGTTACCTATTGTGGCCTTGCCCTACCCAGGGGGTCATGATTTGAACAATCTAGTTCTACACTACCCAAGGATGCTTCCACATAAGTTTCAGCTTTTCTGGCACAGTAATTCTTGAGAAGAAGATTTTTAAAGATTTTTCCCTATATATTTCTATGTAAAAATTTGATTCCTTATTGTGGCCCTGCCCTACTCCAGGGGGCCATGGTTTGAATAATTCAGAATCTACACTACCCCAGGATGCTTCCACATAAGTTTCAGCTTTTCTGGCCCAGTGGTTCTTGAGAAAAAGATTTTTAAAGTATTTTCCTATATATTTACTATCTAACTAAATTCATTGTTCTATAATAATTTTGAGAGGTAGAAAAGAAAATATTTTCATACACCGCCATTCCGCCAAAAACATAGACCCTGCTAGATTTCAAATGCAGTTTACCATTTCTATTTTAAGTTGTACAATTGTGATTAAAAGAGAAAAAAATATGGTCTTTTAAATCTATTACATCTAGATATATAAGACATAAACAAATATAATTTGAATATTTCATCTAATCAGAAACCAGAGAAGACTCCCACCTTAATACCATTTGGTTTTATTTTCGAAATATTATTAGATACTTGCTTATCTACATGAAATTGAAGAAAACACATGCATGTTGATTTTCTTTTATATTTTCCGATTGTATTTTAGTTCGCTTAGAATAGGGAGAGTTTGTTTTTCCCGTTTTTTTCTATCCGTACGTTGCCCTTTCGCTGTCCGCAAATTAATTGTGTATAATTTTCAAAAATCTATAGGGACGAGAAAATATTGCATTTTGCGGTTGATATATAAGCAATGCAAACGGATTTTCTTAACAATGTTTTTTTTTTAATTTTACTTTAGATTAATAAATAAATCTTTCCTTTGCCTATAAGTACACAGGGGGCCGCTTAATACCGTTCAAAGGTTCAATATTTGCAAGACTACTAGGTTCCTTAAGATGTCTTGCTGCTAATTAACGTATACTCTCCGAGGGTTCCTTATGGAAACTAACTTCGGAATAAAGATTTCATTTGATTCATCTTTGCTACTTTTACATTTTGATCAAAGGACATGTCATTCTTACTTATCACAGTGGCCTTTGGCTGCATTATAGACGGTGTTGACGGCCGGTGGGTCCGGACAATTATGGATCACGCCCGTTCCTCCGGAACATATGACGTAAGAACGACACCCTATTTCATAATGGCCATCCACATTATTTATACAAACACTCTCATCTCCACAAACTGAAATCAATATAAATCAAAGTATCAGGTCATATAAACTTTTGGTAACATATTTTCCCCAGCATTATTTTTTTTTTTAAATATCTTTTACCTGTGGTAAGGAACGAGACTAAAAACGCCAACGCCAAATAATTTTCCATGAGAGAGACGGCGAAGAGTACTTTTAAATTTCACGCTTTATAGATTATCTTATCTCTCTCTCGAGATAGGCAGAGATAGGAAAGTTAAAGGTATACCTTTCCTACTTTTATTTCCTATCTTTCTAATGAAAACCAACCTAAAGAATTGTAAGTGCTGGCACGGAAAAGATCCCTCCCTGCTCAATGGCCGTAAGTGCCGAGTATAGGACAAAATTGCAACACTCATCGGCAAGTGGTGACGTATCCATATGAGTGAAAAATTCGCGAGAGGAACGTTAATCAAATATACAAACACATAAATCTAAAGGATTGTATAGTATCTCCTATTTCAAATTTTGTTGTAGACTTTTGTAGTTACAATTCTTTTTGAAAAGCAGAATGCAGAATATATATTTTTTTATCATTTATTTTTAGAATTTTGTACGGTGGTATATTTAGGAAACGCAATTATTTTTTTTTTTAAACCAGAAAAAAATTATCTTGTGAAAACGACATAATCATCCAAGATATTATCTTCACAAGATAATTTCTTGTTTTCGCAAGATAATTTCTCGTTTTCACAAGATATTATCCCGTTTTCACAAGATAATATGTCGTTTTCACAAGATAATATGTCGTTTTCACAAGATATTATGTCGTTTTCACAAGATAATATCTCGTTTTCACAAGATAATATGTCGTTTTCACAAGATAGTAAGTCGTTTTCACAAGATAATATGTCGTTTTCACAAGATAATATGTCGTTTTCACAAGATAATATGTCGTTTTCACAAGATATTATGTCGTTTTCACAAGATAATATGTCGTTTTCACAAGATAATTTCTCGTTTTCACAAGATAATAAGTCGTTTTCACAAGATAATTTTTTTCTGGTATTTAAAAAAAAAAATAATTGCGTGTCCTAAATATACCACCGTAATTTTGGCTTTTTGACCCCAGATAAATAAATGAGTGAAAATTTCGCTCTGACTATAATAAACAGGAATTCAAATGGAAGGTACATGCAATTTATACACGTCACTAACTAAATAAGATACTTTGACACCCTAAATAAAATACCAAATGGAATCAAAAAATTTTGATCACTAGATATTGAAGGACCCTGGGAATCACTACAAATTGAAGGGGCCTCGGAATCACTACAAATTGAAGGGCCCTAGGAATCATTTATAGGAATTTTTACAATCCTTCTGGGCACTTGATTACACCTTTGAAATCACCAGGGATCCTTGTTTAATGCTTTTTCACAGATTTGTTTGATTTATAGATTTTTTTTTAGATCAAACATTGTTTGTCATCTTCATGTTTTTTTTAATAACTCATTACAGAGAAAAGGATACTCTAAGTTGTAAGAACCACAGGCACCTGAAGTATGGATAATACCCCCCCCCCCCTCTTTTTTTTTTAATGAAAAAAAATGTAAGAGTGTATAATACTTCGAAAATATAAAATTTCCCCCTCCAATACATCTATATGTCGTTATATGCAAGCAGATTGTACTTTTTCTCACGTTTAAAGAATGGCCCTATTCGGTATATAAAAATACACAAGGTAAGAAACAAAAATTGTAAACAAAACAGGGGTGCCCCACTTCGAGACAGATTTCCAAGGTAATAACAGTGTTACCTATCATAATTTTGCAAACACTCTGTCTGGGAGATGTTCTTTTACTAGTCTCTTAAACCTAAATCCCGCTATTAGCGTTTGATATGCCGTAATCGAACGATTATTAATCGGATACATCAAATTTTCTCCATTGGCATCGTTAAAGGAGGTTTTGGAGCTGCTTTTCTGTTTCGCCTTATCTGATTGGTTAGATATTTAAACTGTATTACAATTAACCAATCAGATAAGGCAAAACAGAAAAGCAGCTCCAAAACCTCCTTTAACGCTGCCAATGGAGAAAATTTGATGTATCCGATTAATAATCGTTCGATTACGGCATATCAAACGCTAATAGCGGGATTTAGGTTTAAGAGACTAGTAAAAGAACATCTCCCAGACAGAGTGTTTGCAAAATTATGATAGGTAACACTGTTATTACCTTGGAAATCTGTCTCGAAGTGGGGCACCTCTGTTTTGTTTACAATTTTTGTTTCTTACCTTGTGTATTTTTATATACCGAATAGGGCCATTCTTTAAACGTGGGAAAAAGTACAATCTGCTTGCATATACCGACATATAGATGTATTGCACTGTAAAAAATGTGTTTAGATGATAGACACTTTCCTAAGCACTTTCTTGTCACACTTTTTTTGATGCGTTGAAATTCTAAACACATTTAATTTCATTACGTGTAATGGAAAGTGTTTAGACCCTAAACACTTACATGTTTAGACTTTAAACACGTTACAAAACATGTTATGATACATGTTTACAAATTAAACACTTGGATGTTTTCGTTGCCTTCCTGCAAGAAAACTGAAAAAATAACAATTGTTTACATTTTTAATTTTATTCAATGAACATTCAAACATGGAATTTTTATAAAGAATTTTAAATTAAATATACATTATATTTTTACACGCTGGTTTTAATTCTAACCAGATTAGCAAGCAGTTATTTCTCATGTCTGTATCAAGTTTAACTTCCAGCAATTTTTCACTGAGCAACACACGCATAATATGTTTTCATCTGTGACCGTCAGTAGGTAATCCACTGTCATTATTTGACAATATTTTTAGGTTGTTCAAAGCTATAACGAACAACAGACTTCACAAAACTGAGTTTCCCCTAGAAAGTAAGAAGTATTGAAAAATGTAAGAACGATGGCATGCCATTGTGGACTTGGAGATGGCAACAGTTTCTCTGATACGTGTATTTTTGCTTTCAAGTTCGATGTGGACCATATCCTGTAAGAAAAAAATTCAAATTTTATCAAAATATGCTTTTCACTGGCTGGATTTGTATGAACCCTTTTTTTTTTTTTTTACATGTTTGATAGAAATTATTGTGCTACTTTTATTGAACCTCGTCTATATAACCACTATTAAGTATTGATACTGTTGTAGATATTATTGATATTCTATATAATGTACTCCTTTCTAGATTTCAGGAATTCAAAATATAACCGAAGGTAATCTTGATCTACATCTACATGTGCAAACGCATGTCTATTTACGTAGCCCATCATGGTCAATTTATGTAAAATAAAAATAATAGTTAACATACCTTTTATCGCAGTAATGTTGCAGTTTAAATGCATTTCACAATCTCTTCATTGTTATCACTTTGATTAGCATTCACTACCTTTAATCCATCTTCTTTAGCTAACATTGGGATTTCCTTTGTTTTGATAACCGCTCTATTTATCATTCGAATATATATGCGTCATTTCCGGGAAGATAACTCTGCACTTCACAGAAAAGTGTTCAATTTCTAAACACTTCTATCTAAACATGTGTTAAATCTTAACATCATTTAGATATAACACACGTTTAGACGTAAGTGTTTAACCGTTAAACACAATCTAACACACGTTTAGACCTAAATGTTTAGCCGTTAAACACAATCTTATACATGTTTAGGTCAAAACACGTAACGGAAGTGTTTATTTTCTAAGCGCATTTTTTACAGTGTGGAGGGGGAAATTTTATATTTTCGAAGTATTATACACTCTTACATTTTTTTTCATTAAAAAAAAAAGAGGGGGGGGGGGGTATTATCCATACTTCAGGTGCCTGTGGTAAGAACTTGAGACCAATTATTTTTTATGAATTATACAATAAAATATGTTCAAAACAACAACAAAAAAATCATTCAGAATCAAGCGAATAAAAACAAAGGTAGTACTCTAACAAGTGAATGTAGGTACTCCTACAAATAATTCTTGATGAACCTTTCGCGCTTTAAATGAATGATAGTGGTAAATTATGCTTTTCGGATATCAAAAGGATAGGATAATATTAAGTTTAAACATAAGCAAGTGTCAACTTCGTCATGACTTAGACATCTTGCTTTTGATTGTTTTGAAGTAAAAAAAAAAGTGGGCAGGTGGGTTTTTCAATGAAACTAAAGGATGTCAAAATCCTTTATACAAACCCTGACAGTTCTGTGAATTTTGCTCTTTTATTTCTTTGTAAGAACTGGCTGAAATAAAGAAAGTAGTCATTGAAAGTCAATGGAAATGGGAAAAAATCTAATTATTCCTACTGAATTCAATGGAATTACAAGGGAAAGCATGAAAGAAAAGGCCTTAATTGGCTACAGTATTAAAAAAATTCTACTGACTTCAGTGAAATCTTTGACACAGACGACTTTTGAAGAACTATTTTTAAAGAATTCTTCAAAAGAAATAAAAATATACATGTATATTGAAATGGTAACTGTGGGGTCTTTATCACAGATACTAGTACTCGTGCACTCAAACAAAGTTGAAAGCACTAACAATGTCTTTCCGACTTTTCTTGACTGTTTTTGGATATTCATAAATGCACATTTTAAATTCTAAAGCACATTAAACAATATCTACATTTTCTTTGAAAGTGCCAAAAAAACTCGCATAAATTAATAAGAGCAAATTTGCTCTTTCAATGTTGAAACCATGATTTAAAAGAGATATGTCTTCAAAATCAATCAAATAAGAGTTAGACTTTATCCATCTGTATAAACTACCAAATTGTAGATATCTGTGTTGGTACCATCCCCACAAGAAATAAAACAATCTTCAATTCTGAATTATTTTATTTACGAGGGTTGTTAGAAAAGTTCACGGACACATTGTATGTATTAATGTTGAAAGTGTTAATCAATTCGCTGAATAAATGCGCACGATAACTGAACTGTTGCTTCATATAATAGTTAAATTTATGTTAATTTGACGCTTCGTGCACATTGAGAGATGCTTTATGAAAATTGATCAGGAAACAAGTTTCAAACAACGTATTGAGCTGCAACCAAAGCTCAATTTAACGGTAAATATTGAGACCAAAGGTACAGAATTTAGACCCTGCCTCGGTCAAAATTGATTCGCATGGGTTATAGGACGATTTCCACCTTAGTTTGGACTTTCAGTAAGGCGTGGCATTCTCGGTGCTATGTATATATTCTCATTG